AGTATCGAATATTGATTTTTCTTTATTATCGCGTTAAGGCGTCTATAGTCGATATATAGTCTTAATCCCCCGTCCTTTTTTAGTATAAAAAGTACTATATGAGCTACTTTCGACTTTAAAGGTCTAATAAACTCTTTTATAAGGTGTTTATTAATATACTCTTTAAGGAAGTCTTCTTCCTTTTTAGATATTAGGATTAGTTACGCATAGTATTCCGGATTATTTCCTTCTTCTAAGGGTATCTCATAATCCTATAGTTTATATTCTAGTAAAGCTACGTTACTTTCTCTTTCTTTAGCGAGGTCTTTAAAGTCTTTATATTCCGATAGTATTTCCCTAATACTAGAGCTAGCTAGCGTACGTTCTATCGATCGCACTAAAATCGTTCTTTTTAGAGTCTTTAAGGATAATTAGTCCTCCCTTTATACGGTACTATATTTCGTAAATATTACTATCCTTATTTATTAGTTAATAGTTAGGTTATGTTTTTAAAGCTAGTCTATTCCTAAAACTACGTTATATCCTAGGATATCTATTATATCTAGGTTTATTATTTCCTTATATTTCGTAATCGTTAACGGAACGTTTTTCATTTCTATCATTACTTATCTTAATAGTTATCTATCTACTATCTTTAAGAGATATAGAAGTCATTTCTTTACTTCGTATTCATATAGTTTCCTAGCTATAGTTATACTTATATAGCTCCGGTTAGCTCCTAAGTTAATTATAATAATAATCTAAATATTCGCTAATTCTACCGTAAGGGCTACGTAGTAATTATCTAATATAGTTATCTCTCTTAACTCCTAAGGCTTTCTAACTCTTAGGTTATTATTATAACTCCTCTACCTCTTTAAGTTATTACTCATAAGTTTTTTAGTTAGTATATATATCGCTCTCTATCCTATTAATATTTAGTATTAAAACACTCCTCTAATATTTCAAATACCTTAGGGTATATTAGGATATTTTTAACGTCTAGGTTAATATTATAGATATATTAATACTTTATCTTTATATCGTACTTCTCTTCATTTAGATAGTAGAAATCATCCGCTATAAAATCTCTATCTACTCTATTATTAGCTATTTCTTCAATAATAAATAACCTATATAGATCTCCTCCGCCGTTATTACTATTAGTGAATATTATATTTAGTATACCTTCTTAGTAATGTAGGTATAATTCTCTCCTCTATTAATATTCTTATTTATTATATATTTAGTCTATCTCTATAAGGTCGGCGTAGACTCCTCTAGATATTAGTATATAGGGCCGTCTTAGATCGACGTTCTAATAATATAAATAATCTCCGTATTACTATTAGTAGTCTTTATCTTCGTACGAAAGTCTTTTATAGTAATAGTCTAGATCTTCGCGTTTATCGATTACCTTTCTATTCCTTAAGAGTCCTAATATCGATAGAATTAACTTAAGAATAACTCCTTTTTCTCGCTATACTTCTTTAAGTTCGTTTCTTTTAGTAATAATTCTCTTTATAGTTCCCTCTGGAAGTCTTATTTTAACTATTACTAGTTCTATCGGTTAATAAATATATATATCTTCTTTATATTCGTACTCTCGGTCCTAGTATTATTTTATATTAATTTTCTTAAGTAATGATTATAGTAATCTAAAAGGGTTATAAACTATATATTAGTATAGTATATTAAGATAACACTTAGTCTCGTAGTCGTCTATCTTCTAGAAGTTAGTAGCAATCTTAATATTATACTTATCACTTTCTAGTACTACGTACTATTAATATATAGTATCTTCCCCTAACATAAGATTCTTATTTAGTTCTTAGATAATAACGTTATCGCTTACGTAACTATTATATAGTATATATATTAGTTAGTAATCTATAAGCGGGTTAATATCGTCATATAATTCTCCTATATTAGTCTACGCCTCTCTAATATACGCGACTACCTAGTAGTCCCGGCATCTTTCGTAGGTATAGATTAATTATACTATTCTAGTGCCTTCTAGTACTATTATCACATTAAGGCTCTATTCTTATGACGGTACGATTAGTATTGTAAACGCTTTATCACCTTTTCCTACGTACGAATGCATCCCTAGAACGGTATATTCCGCCTCTATAGCCTAATAGATCTCTATCGTAATTAAAACTAGTTCATTAGTTAGCTACCCTAGATTAAATATAGAGTAGAGGTACTCTACTTTTAGTCCGTAATTATCTTTATACTAGTACTTTAATAATCTCTAGTAGAGTATAATTATTATTATTTCCTTATCGTTATATTTAATTACGATAAATATAGTAAGTTCTTCTAGTTCTAGTATATACATTATCTAGAATCCTTATTCATTATTAATATCCTTATAGTTAACCCTAAATACTTCCTAGTACTTTAGCTTATTAGCTCGTCTTACTACTTTTCTTTATTATTTTAGAAACTATCTACTTCTAATCTTTTCCGAGTAGTGAGTTATATATCTATTGTTATAGTACGCTATCTATAATAAGAGCTAATACTATAATTCTTCTTATCGTTCCTATTCTTCTAAGGTAGCTTCCTCCTTAGGTTTTATATCTTATTTAGATCTACCTATCTCCCTTTAAGATCCCGTACCTAGGTGGTCCCCCTATACTATATTACTCTAGCTATCGGCTACCTTCTAAGCTCCCTATAAAGTATTAGCCTTTATTTCTTTATAACCGGCTATACTATTATCTATTATATATAGCGTTAGACCGTTCTTATAATCTTTCATACGGTATCTGGATTTTCCGTATCTATAGTATAGATTATTTTTCTTACGTTTCTCTCGCTCTAACTATAGTGATCTACGAGACCTATCGTTCCTAACCTTAGGTTATCCTCCTCGTGCTTTCTAGTGAGTAGAACTACTACGTTAGATCATATCTAAGTCTATTAGTTCTCCGTAGTATTATTTATTCTTATAAGTTATACCCCCTATAAAAGTCCCTTTTCTTTCTATTTAGTATTTATATAACTAGTTATTAGTCTCGATAGAGAGTTTAACGAGCGATTTATACTTATTAGGATAATCTATCCCTATTCTATCTTTAACTAAATCCTTTAGCCCCTAATAATAGACTAAGGCGAAAGCTTTATCTTCCTAATCTAATTTCGAAGTATAGCGTTAGAATATAGTATAATACCGCGTAGCGGATCCTATCTACCTAAGTTAATAGATCCTCTAGACTACTAACTATTCCTCTCCTAATATCCTAAAGATCTACTTAATTCTTTCTTTAAAAACTAAGAAGTTTCTAAAGATTTTATTTATCTCTAGGCTTCGCTACGCTAGTATAGAGCCGAGGTAATCCCCTATAATAGGTTTAAACTACTTAAACGCTAACCTACGGAGCTAAAGTTCTATAAATAAAACTTTTTCTACGTAGGTAGAGTATTTAGTATGTTATAAGGTAAATACCGCCTTTAACTATATAAGATATATACTAAGTTTACTTCTATCTCTATAGTACTATTTAACCTTAAGGTTATCCTTTATCTTTCTAACCTCTATATTATTAATAGTTAAAGTAGTAATACTTATAGTAGAGGTATTAGATTACTAAGTAAGTCTAGGCTTAGGCGATTTAGGGTTAGAGCTACTAGATATTATCGTTAGGTCCGCTACTATCTAAGTAGATAGTTAATATATTACGAGCTACTATATAATACGTAAGGTATCCATAGGTAAACCTACGGTGGTTTACTTAGTGATATAGTAGGGAGGGACGCTATAGCTAAGACTGGAAACTAAGTATATAGTATGTAGACCTATACGTATAGTAGATAATTATGAGGAACTTAATTTTCTATAACTATTATTAACTACGAGGAGAACTATGTAGCTGAGCGCGGCTATATACTACTTAGGATATATATTTAATATGTTACTCTATTAGACATGTTAAATATGTTAATATATTTCTGAGCCTATCTAGGTATATTGCTCTGTTACCCCGCTGGGTTATGCTAACATGTTTGCTAAGATACTGGCGTCTGATATGTTCTCCTCGGTCGACCTTCCTCCTTGTCTTTCCCCTTAGCCTCTCATATGGTCGGTTCGTAACAGTATCCTACCATTTTAAACCCCTCTGTGAGGGTTTGGAAAGAGTTCTGCAACTAGCTAGCTAACCTAGTAACAAGGAGGACAAATCTGAGGAGAGAGAAGGAAGGAATGGCTGTCCTTCCCTTCTCCTTATATCCTCCAACGCGCCGTAAGGAGGTAACTATTGTCCTCACCTCCTTGCTCCTTTCCTTGCGTACTTGTTCCAGCTCCTTGCCTTCCCTTGCGTACTTGTTCCAACTCCTTACCTTCCCTTACGTGCGGTGTCTCAGCTGTCAGGACTTTGTATCCCTTGCACCGTGTGCGTCTTGACTAATCAGGAGGCAGTATTTCCTGGTGTTGGTCTTGGCGCTGGTTCGCCAGAACCGAGCCTTCTCCTGGGTTCAACCCATCACACCCTCATTTTCTAACTACACTAGAAAAACGTAAACCCGCCAACATTACGTACCATAACTACGCCGCCGTAGCGATGATGATTTATTACGCTCGGAGCATAACAGGTATAAACTGATCTAAAATGCTAAGGCATCCAAAAGAAATACTTCTTTTGTTGTATTTCATTCGGGCAGACGGAACATTCCAATGACGACCTGTCGGTATGGACGGCATATCGACATACCAACATACCATTCCCAGTTGCCTGTTCCAAGTATATAGCTACGCTCATTACCCTTCTATAGTTACACTCGCTCGTAGCCAACTCATGCCATCTGCTTGACTATACTGTTTTCAGTTACTCGACTGTTCATACCTTGCACTCTCCTAGCCCAGCTCATATAATAAAGGATCTGTGACTGAGACACCTATCGACTCAGGTGTCTCAGGAAGCGGCTCTGACAAGTATCTTCACACCGTACCGCTGAATTCTCCACCGTATACTGCACTCCTTAACAGTGTCCCCATGGCCATTGCACCTACATGGTTAAGAAGTGTTGCTATTATGTGTGATAGATAGCTCCTCTATCGTTGTCGATGCATTTTTGACAGTGGTATCGTGTTGTTCAATGTCAAGAGAGCAAGGTTGACGAGACATGTCTCTTGCAATTTTGACGACTTCGAGTGCATTTTTCGAGTTCCGAAAAACTATGTCCATATCCTCGAGCAACATACCTCGTGTTTCTGGGAGGAAAAAGTATATGACTGACGCGGCGTCAAAGTCTGCCGGTTCGCCTTCGGGTGTTGTACTCACTTGGTAGAAAAACGCACAAATCCAGTGCACAGTAGACAATGAAGTAGCGGCTTTCGAGGGTTGCGAAGGCAATGGGAGAGACTGCATCAGTAAGAAGAGAATCCAAAGCATCGAAGTAGAGACACACCTTCGGTGGAGAGGAAATTGAAGCTCCAAAGAGTGGTTGCCGTCACAGCATAAATCGGAACACGATAAGCCAGAGGAGAGACCTCAGCGCCGTAGAGGTAATTAACACCAAATGTCCCAAGTCCAAATGATGCCACGAATAGGAAAATAGCGACAGTTGAGGCGATGGCACATGCTCGGTTCTCAGGCCTAGATGTAGTTCCTGCCAGGACACCTGCCATGACACCCATTCCTCCGATGCCAATCATCATTAACTTTCTTCTGCCAATTCGTTCGACGGTGAAACATGTGACGATGCTGCACACCAATTGCAAAGAGTAAATTGATGCGGAGACAATTCTTGATTTGACCTGGCTTAAACCCATATAGTCCTCCAAGATTGGGACTGTGTAGAAGCCGACAACGGCAATACCAGACATTTGCTGAGAAAACGTGCTGAACATGGCGACTAAAGTTCTGTTTAAGAGACGGTTGTCGCCGTTGCTGAGGAGGTCTTTGAATTTGGCGGAGCTCATCAGCCTGAGCGAGTATTGCATTTTCTCAATTGCTGCCGTCACGATTTCGGACTCCTCATTTGTATCTTCCAGCACTGATACGATGTGTCGGGCTTCGTCCAAACGCCCATGCTTTACCAGCCATCTTGGGGACTCTGGCATCATTGGCGCGCATATCAATATAACCATAGCAAAAGTGATTGGGAAGGCTAGAGGGAACCGCCATGTAGCAGAGGTCTCTGCAAAGAAGAAACCAAGTTCAAGCCACTGACACAGAGCGATAGCAACAGCTGAGAAGGTCCCTTCCAGGACAACGATTACGCCTCGATGGCTTGCCGGAGAACATTCGCTTTGCCAAATTGGAACTGTAGCGGAGATCATCCCAGTTCCGAGCCCAACGACAAGGCGGCCAACAATCAATTGGCCGAGAGAGAATGAAGACGATTCAAAGATCCAGCCAATTATAGCTGAGGTGGCCCCGATCATAGTCGTCCGCAGGCGTCCAAGTCTATCACCGATCTTCCAACAGGACAAAGCTCCGAACATGGCTCCGACAAGGTAAAGAGCAACGACGGTGCCCTCAATTCGAGCATTTTGAGCTTTAGCAGCTCCTGTTGTGTGGACTGTATCGGTCGAAGGAAATTGCTTGATGAATGAGGGATTGCTGACTAGTCCGCCCATCACCACGTTGTTGTATCCTAGGAACCCGTAGGCTGGGAAGACGACTAGGCCTAGCATAGCAATCTGAAGCTTGCGGCCGCGGAGGGAAAAAAAATCATGCTTAGCCATTGTAACGCCTTCGTGCGTACTGGTAACTAATTGTTGTTGCGTGGTTGAGAAAAAGGACGAGAGAAGGCCGGGTGCTAACGGACAGGGATGACGCTATAGGCAGTAGAAGTCTTCTTTATAAACACTGCGTACGGATCGCGCGAAGGAACTGCAATGAGCCTAGGATAATAATGTCTCTGGACGCCTTGGACTTTGACAAGCCCCGAGACTTCGAGAGCGTTTCAAAATACGGCGCTGGCCAGATGCGTTTCCAGGACTCGATGCCTCTCGGCGGATTGTAGGCCGCCACTCAGAACTCTCAACCCGAGGTCGGTGGAGCTCTGAATGCCGGCGCATTTCGGCCCGTCACTGAGCTGGATCTGTGAATGCGGAGATTATGCTTGGCTTTTTGACTTGAGCCGAACAAGCGTACCTTTCTCAGAACATGCATCTCCGCCACGTCGCTTGTTGTGAGAGTTATGTGAGAGGTTCGTGGTTGTTCTCCTCAGTATCCCTTTTCCTTCCAGGGCCCTGGAATTTACTCTCCGGAATGCCTCCAGGTTCGCCACGAGCTCCTTCCTCAACCTTGCACGCCTTCGTGATAGGACTCTCTAAGCTTCGTTATCGCCATCGTGGTGGAGTGGGGGTGGAATGCAATATAAGTGAAGTGCCTCCTGCTTATTCTTCTTTCTTAATAGTTTCAGATTGATGCAGGAGGCACTCCTGACCGCTGTCTTCTTCTTGACAGACATCTGGTATATTTCTGAAGACGTTTAGATCCCTCAGTATACTTGTTCCGACCACGCTTTCCAAGACAGCTTAACAGCCTTTGTTCAACAAGGATGTTTTAATGACGGACGGAGACCCGAAACTGGCCAAGTTTGGGCATGGATAAGATCGCACTTACCAAAGCCGCGCAAACTGGGTGTTTTCACACCTGGAGCGAAAATCCCCACAAGTCGACAAGGAATTTACCTACCTTCTTTGCCTGTATATTTCATCCGTCAGGATTTCTGGCAACCTCCAAGGTGTCCAAACCACGAGAACGGGAATCGCCTCCTTTCCATCTAATTGAATAGATATTAACCATTTTCCGCTGCTGAGACGGCAGAAGTCCAAGAGGCGTTGTTTGGAATGATTGATTTACCGTCTAGAGATCGATGATTTGATGTCATTATCATCCTCACTCTGCCTTTTCCGCGCGACATACACTCTGCATGCTTGTGATTAACCCAACGGATCACTGCCGGGGCAGATTATGAAGTCGTACTTTGCATGTCTCGTTTTGTTTCGCTTTTCTCGCCGGTTGAATGCAAGCCTAAAGAATATTGCGAATTGTTCCATCATTTCAGGTTCGTCCTTAGTGGAGGCGCCGCTACCTCTCAGATTAAAACTCATCCCGTTATGCCAAATTCGTTCCTGCAGAGCTTTCCAAACAGGTTTCCAAACGTGGAATAAGCAATGGAATCTGGGCTAGCCCCCGAACTCTTTTATCATATCAGTTGATGTGCCGTTGGCCTCACCATATTCCCTTCAGCGGTTCTGTTCGGTACAGTGCACCTAGCAGATGAAGGACTTCCTGAGCAGACCGTAGAACTCAAAAGCATCTCCGACCTTCCCCAGAGGCTGAATGCCGAATTACGACTGTGAGCACAGCAAGAATTGTACGCAACCTAGCAAGGATGCTTGTGAATTCAATGGAACTGTCAAAGAACTTCGCGGATCTCTCGGGAAGATAGCCATCAACTGTGGAAGTTTGCGCCAAGCCCACTAATGGCGTCTGGCGCTTGCAGGCTGAGGCTTCACTCAGCCAATTAGAAGTCTATCAGTATTTCCGCAAACGAAAGCTTGGGAAAAGATCACCTACTGCGGGAACAGTGGAACTTAGTTGATTTTTGGATCCAACTCCCACTGCGCTTTTAAAGTCTTCGTGTTTCTCCACATCTCTTCTACTCATCAAACGATGCCTATGTCCAAGCAACATACTTCGCACCTTCGCTTTCAAATACAAATACACAGCCGCTTCCAGTACCTAGACTCCCTCTCCCTAGAACCTATAGTGCTATATCAGCAACCGGGGATCAATTTGCCCTGGAGCAGATTCTCAACATCAGAAAACTGATTTTGAACGTCACGTTGTTGGATAAGGCGTGCTTGAAAGTTAGTTACCTCAAACCCTTCGCGTGGCGATCTCCTAGTTCTGACTTCATAGACCGTATAACCGTAAACAAAGATATTAGACTGTTTTCTGGCCGATAACCGAACCCTTTATAACACAAATTAGCCGCCTCGCCCTCGACACTGCAACCTTCGAAGTCGATTATCTTCCAGAATTATGTTTCACCAAGATCGCATTGTGACATCCTGCTTAGCATACACTATCTGTTTCTCAGGCATATATAATAGGCCCTTTTCAAAATGCTTTAGCTAGCAAAGTTTCCTTTGTATCGATATCCGGACTGCGTCGGGATGTTGACCTACCGCTCAATCGACCTATTCTCGCTTGGGGACTATGGAACCAAATGACAGGAGTACCATGGTATTTTGCAATATTCGAATGTAAGCCGAGACGTTCGTATACTTAACGCCCAATAACATTTTCGTTATTGGAGGTGTCAGTGTGCTCACTCTTTCAGGAGTGTCTCGTCGTTAGGCCCGTAACGCTTGGTTTGCCGCACACATGGCGTTCAAGAATTGCAAACGAAGAGATTGATATTGTGCCCCGCGATTCGGGTGACAAGGCCGAGCCTTGTGCTTGGAGCTGAAAGACATCGCTGTTCGTCAGATCTCTGGTTTAGAAAACCTTCGTAAGTGAAAAGCGATGTTCTTGGCCTGCTGGGCGCGAAAACAAACTCATTAGGCTCGACTGTGATAAACCAATTATAAGTGACCGCACGCAGTCGCGGAGAGGCGTTGGAGAAAGAGAGTTTGATTTCATGTTTGACTCTGAAAGCTTAGTAACTCCTAGTGTTGAAAAGTCTGCCATTCAACCATTGCAATCCTGCGTGCTTCTCGAAGAATTACAACTGTGAAGATCCACCTATAGTACATTTCAATGTACATTTGTGTGTGATAACATATGTAGCAAGACTCATATGTTTGCCCTTCGTAATATCCAGCTAGTTTTGAATCCCGTGGTACTGCCACATTGTAGGAAATGAGGGCACTGAAACTTGGATCGCGTGTCAGATCGTTGTTGCGAGACACAAACGAATGAGTCTCGACGCAAGCCCACAACCAGGGAAAAGGGAGATCGCCGCAATGGCAGTGGTTGTTTGAGTGTTTCTGTCTATGTGAGGAGTAAGTCCGAGGGAGAGTCTGTGACTCGAGTAACTAAGGTAATAAAGGGGCTGCGGTCAGGCCAGTCCTGACTTGGTCTAGTGCCATGCCAAACGTGACAATCGTCCAGCGAGGTCCGAGGTTCGGCAACGAGCTGTCCACAAGTCATCATGGGCTGGAAACACGGAAACATCTCTTCATGGCCACGACTATAGACCATCTTTTATGATCTCTACCCGTGCACATCGAATCCATCCATGAAGCCAAAGAGTGGGTCGTACAGTATAAGATCGTCGCTTAACCCCAGTGCTTGGTTCTGAGCCGACTCTTCGAGATTGGAAAAGTCGAGCTGGCTGAAGTCGAAATTTGGCGCTATGGGCGTCCTTGGGAACATTCTGATGATGGCGTCAGCATCCAGAGCCGAGCTTGGGCTCAGATCTGTTGTAGGTTCTGTAAAGCTTCAGTGATCTGTGATATCTTTGAACCCGGCTAAATGCTTTTGCGAAACATGAAAATACTGATCGCTTACCTGCAATGCCTTGCAATTGATTCGCACTCATCAGACGCTGAATAATCTGCACAGCCCTCATTGCGCAGGGGCTCGCGTCGGAAAGCTCCTTCAGCATCGTCAGAGTTCGGTCGAGCATTTCTTGGGCGTTCCTGCAGACTTCGGACTTGCTGTTGCCCAAAGCCGCATTGCGCACATGGATGGTACATGCTACGTAGCATGCATAACTGGCCAAGTACGGGGCTCCGCGAAGCGAGTACCCTGTGCGATAAGCCGTCATGATATCTGTGATCATGGCCGCAGCATGCGAACACTTGTGCCATGATGTCTCCGAAGCTGTCCTTTTCCGAAGCTGTTTCTCAGAAATGAATGGTCGATGAAGTAAAATCCACAGAGCATGGTAAGTGGCGTTTATTAGGACAATATTCGGTGCCACCATGTGAGATGATCTGCCCTCAGCATCCAGCAATGGCTCGAACACGAGATATTGAGGCAACTCCATCCTCCAATGAGCCAAGGCGCGGTCAAGATGTTGCAATTTTGCCTCTGCATTAACTATTGGAGCTCCGGCAGCGTAGAAGCGACTCACGATTTTAGTCATCAGTTTCGCCAGTTCACAGAACTGCTGGAAACAGGTGACTGAATGCACAGGAATGGGTGCAAATGCACGAGGCGCCGTCTCAGGTCGAGGATCGTTTGGATCTATATATGGCGTCCAAGGTTCATTTTCCTCCAGGGTATCCATCAGATTACAAGACACATATGCATCCCGAAGCTGGATTGTCACAGGCCGTCCAAGATAGAGACTCTGGAGTTTGTCGCAAATGAAGATGCCCCAGAACACTCTCCGGCGGATTTCCATGTCTTCTGCGGTGACGCCAGGTCGTTCGCAATCCAGGTGCAGGCCGAGGTCGAAGATCATCCTAATTGCCAATCCGCCATATTTCCAGCCCTTGGAGACTTCGCCACGTGCTAGGAATGTGGAGCTAAGAAGCATCAGCCCAGCGGCCGTCGGAATAGATGACTTTTCGAATGGTGACTCTTCCACCAAGAGCTCTTCACAGCGCCGCAGAAAGCGTCCACCCGAGGTTCGCGGGTCGTTCGGATTGTCGCGCACCTCGGGACGATTTGAGAATTTGCTTGCGGAAGCAAAGATGGCGTTGGAGAGAAATTTGGACCAGTAGGGTCCTCCAGAAATAAGATCCCTGGTATAAAGTGGGCGATAAGTGAGAAGGAAAGTGTGGTGCTGTCGGTTCCAGTGCAAATCATGCAGATGAGTAGCCAGCTCTATTGGCACTCCATCGATATCACTAAAGGACCAGATAGTCGATTCAAATTGTCGTTGGAGGGCGGCATTCACGAACAGTTGATTGGCCAAGTTCTGAAGCGGTTGATTGCCTGTGCTTGGTGACTCTACAGGGTCGTGGAGAGCAGAGGTCGGTCCAAAGGCACCGATCTGGCCGTGTTCGTCCAAGGAGAGGTACTCCGCAACTTTGTGCTCGGTCAGCAGCGTTTCGTCGTCCTCATCATCGCTCATGTCCTGCGAATCTGCCACGTCTCCGCTATTCGTCTCGACTAGAGGGCTGCCAAGGGTCTGACTGGCTACATTCAGGATACCATCGTCCTCAGGGGCGGGATCCACCATCTTGACCGAATTTCCAAGCACTTCGAATGATGCGAGAACATCATGGCGCTGCTCTTCAGGGCATTGCTTCAATTTGATTAAGAGCAGCTCCAGGGCCCTTTTGCGCGTCTCCGCAGCCCTTATCAACGCCTTTGAAGGTCGAGGTTTTGGAGGCAGATTGGAGTAGACACACTCGCGCGAGTGGATGGTACACGTCTTGCAGATGGGCCGCGTCATGTCACATTTCGTTTTCCCGGTTCTGCATTGTTGGCATGCCCTCGGTCTTGACCAGGCAGAGGCGATTGCGCCTGCGTTGTGTTCCGACGCCATTTTCTCATGGCCTTCGCGCTCAAGATTACACCTCTCTTCCTATAAGCAAAGTGAGCAATCTCCGGTGGAGGAGGTCTGAGTGCGTGTATGAACTGGTCTTGCGAATGGAGGCGTCAATGCGCTGAGAGTATGGTTTGATGACTCCACCATGGAGAAATTGGATATAGTGTACTGAGGGGTCCAACTCTGGGGATGTTGGGGACTTAATAAGTCATCCTTAGGCATGCCTACACCCTGGCAGTGAGGGGCGAGAGGTGCCCAACTTAAACCGGTTTAATGCTCGGCGCGTGCCGGCATTTTTATTTGAAAATTAGGACGTGCATGTCTATCTTTTCTTGGAATTTTCACACCCTCGCTTCTGCGAGCAAGACGCAGTAGCCACTCATCAATCGCATGTTTCAGCAGTCCTTGACATGTACTCACTATAGATCCTGTCAAATTCCTGAGCTAGCAGATTTTTCCCGAGTCTGAAGTGGCTGCGTTTGACACCACGTTGGGCATCAAGTTCAAGATTGCCACCATCTGCTCGTACACGGTAAACAAAATGGCACCGCTGAGGACCGTACGACTAAGACGCATGGTGGTCCCTTTCCAGAAGCCTAGAACACCGCTATCGAAGTACACATCTTTGATGGCCGCCTTGGTGCTGCTCCCCTTGGCAGTCTGTGATCGGGTCTTGACCACATCAAAAGGCTGTGTGGCTAGCGTGGTCGCGAGTCCAGCCGCCGCCCCCGTTACGAAGTCGAGACCGGGACCTTGTTTAATGTCATGCCTTCGATACATGTCCTTCATGATGTTGTACGACCCGAGGCGAAACGCTGTTGTGCCTGTTTGCTTCAGAGTTGTTCCCACATACCCTCTATAGAGTCCGACAAATCCTGACTCCCGGAAAATGAGTCGAATCGCATGAAGTGTTGATTGAAACCGATGGGAGGATCGCGCGTCGTCAATAAGAGCAGTTTTGATACGCTCGCTCGGAGTAACAATGACAGTGCTAGCAATGATGCCGGAAGCGACCCCGGCCATCATGTTGCCTGCTGCGCCTAGGGATCCCGTTGTCGGATCGGCAAATTTGTGCTTAATGCTGTCGAATGCCAGGAATCTGATAGCATCCTTGCCGATGGAGCCCTACAGCCGGCAGTCAGTAAGAAGCCACATGAGTGTACGGGTGAAAAAGCGGCTCTAGGCAATACTGACCACGACAAGAGAACTGCACCCCTTATATATAGACCTAAAACCCTCGCCTCTAACAATCTCTCGAAGTATCCGGAAAGGATTGGACGTAAGCTTTACGGAGGACAATCCATTGCGTAATTGAACTCTGGTCTTTGCAAATTCGAATGGGTACTAAGAAACGGTCAACCTGGATGGCTCTCCGAACCGATACGGCCAGCGTTACTGTCATAGCTGCTTCAACACCACCAGCAGTTCCCCCAGCGATAATTGCCACCACAAATCCTGGTTTGTCTTCTGATATAGTCATAGTCCTCAAACAGCGGGAGGCGCTTGTCGATGGACAAGGTAGAGTTACCGGACAATCTCAGATTATGTACTTCAACAACATTGGCTCGTCAATTGTTGTATTCCGATCTGCGAAACGGTATTTGTTGACAGGTACGCTGCTCACCAGCAAGGTCCTCTAGCGATTAGTCTCTAGGAGATTCAAAAGGTCCCTGGTAGCGCGAGGCTGTTCAGCATATGAATAAAGTAATGTGGTGCACTACCCAGTCCCCCAGTGGTACGGTCTGCGCAGCTAGTGGCCATGATCATGCACTCAACATGCCTTCACAGTCTAATGCTATCTATTTCTTAGAATGGAAACAATATCTTCATCCTGCCGCGGCCAGGGGCGTGGGAAACAATCTCTAGACACCGCAGCCTGTGCAAAGGGAACTCTGCTGCCAGTGGAGCTCAACGTGATTGGCGGACTCGCACATTCCGAGTGTCAAAAAACTTTAGATGACAGCCACAAAGGTGGCGCTTCATGTGCCGGCAAGACGACTCCAGGCAATGAACGTGGATCTCATATTGTGGTTATCGTTTTCTCTACCGCGGCATGTATCGATCCGAACTGGTCCAATACCGATAGCCGAAGTCGCCCTTCCGGACTTTTGGTGATTATGGACACTATGCGCAAGCGGTGTCTTGAACCATATCCTCGCATTTCGCCCACAATGCTACAGAGTCTTGGTCTTTGGGAGGGAGATTGATTGATCAATCACCAGCTCGACCTGCACATTCATTCTCTTCTATGAGACTCGACTCGAGACACTCTCAATATGCGACAGATATCCGACTTCGATGTGGTGGTTGTTGGCGGAGGAAATGCCGCTCTCTGTGCTGCTATCAGTGCAAGTGAAGCTGGGGTTCGTGTAGCCATCCTCGAAGCCGCGAGCTTGACCGAACGTGGAGGCAATAGTCGCTTCGCAGGGGCTGTCTTTCGGGTCTGTCATGAAGGAATGAAAGACATTAAGGAACTTTTATGTGACGAAGCCATGTACCAAAGTGAAAAGGTCGACTTAGGACCGTATACAAGTCAAGAGTACGTGGAAGAGTTGCTGAGGGTCACACGGGGCCGATCCGACCAGGAGCTCATGAAAGTCCTTTTGGAACAAGGCTATGATACATGCAGATGGATGAAAGACGTCTGCGGCGTGCATTGGCAACTGACCTTGCATAAGTTTTTCAACGAAGACAGGCTGAAGTCGATCAAGGGCAAGATAGATATACCGCCCTCCGTGGGCTTCATGGCGAAAGGCGAAGGCGTCGGTCTAATCAGCGACCTCTATGCAACGGTAGACTCCAGGCCGAACATCACTGTTTTCTACGATATGCCGGCGATCGAAATTCTCATGGATGGCAACACCACGTATGGAGTCCGCGCCCGACATGAAGGCTCTAACGTGGACTTCTCCGGGCAGGTCATCCTCGCCTCTGGCGGGTTCGAAGCCAATCCGCGACTTCGGCGCCAGTTCTTGGGCGAGGGCTGGGACTTGGTGGTGGTACGCGGCAGCCGCTTCAACACCGGTGTGATGCTCGAGAAAGCAATTGCTGCAGGTGCACAGTCTTTTGGCCACTGGGGTGGTGCTCATGCTTCGCCGCAAGACGTCAACGCTCCAAGAGTTGGCGACCTGCGAGTCACAGATAAGATGTCTCGATACTCTTATCCCTACGGTATCAGCGTCAACGTTCTTGGGAAACGTTTCATGGACGAAGGAGAAGCGCATTTCGGCTTGACTTACGCCAAAACTGGATGGGCAATCGGCGCACAGCCGGAGGCGAGAGCCTTCCAAATTTTCGACCAGAAGTCCAAGGATTTGCTTGAGCCCCGCTATGCGACTGGTACTCCTGTTGTTGCCGACACGTTGGAAGGACTTGCGAAGAAGCTTGGGATCAATGTTGCCAACTTCCTCCAGACGTGCAAGGAGTACAATGCGGCCTGCAACCCGACCAATGAATTCGATCCGCTCAAGCTCGACGGCAATTGCACGCAGGGAGATTTTTATCCTCCTAAGTCCAACTGGGCGTTGCCGCTGGATAAGCCACCATATTTTTGTTACCAGGTCACCGTTGGCATCACCTTCACATATGGTGGTATCAAGACCGACACCCAAGCGCGCGCTCTCGATAATACAAACCGTGTCATGCCAGGCTTGTGGGTGGTTGGTGAGATGCAAGCAGGCCTATTCTACCACAACTACACGGTGGGTGCAGGTCTTGTAAAGGGATCGGTCTTCGGTAGGATAGCAGGGACGGCAGCGGCTGCCAGAGCCAAGGCAGAGGTCGGAAAACAAGGTCAAGAAGGCCGAGGGACTACGGCAACCAACGGGCCAACAGCAGATGAGTTGAGGTCGATGCTGTAGCTTGGATAGTTTTTGAACAACTAGAATAGGATATGTGCAATTGCAATCAATGAGCGCCTGCAACAGGTCGACTTGTGATCGGTTTCTTTCTATGCCCCGAGCACACACAAATGGACCAATTCTCCTTTCGGTATAGTGATTCCGCTCTGGACATTGACTTAGTCTATATGGTCAATGCGAAGTTCCACCGGAGGAGCCTAGCGGAGACCTAACGGGCATAATTCTCGATTTGCGCTTGAGAAGGTAAGTAGACGAGCCCTCCCAAATCCTACCTTGAACTGTGGCCGACTTCAAGGGGTGAGAGGACATTGACCATGTTGTCAGCTCTATTCTAAACATTGCTTATCACGCCTTCCATGGTTTTCCGCGCTGCGCAGCAAGAACACTCTTCAGATGGCTGAGATCGGTTTCCGGTCTCGGGCTTGGGTCATATTTCGAGCCTTGTTTGTCCCAGCCCTCCTCCACGACTCGTTCTTCAAGTATGGTCTTGAGCACACATGTGCCGCCAGTATATTCCTTGCCTTCGATCATCCTCAGCATCATATCTGCTATAGTGCCCGGCATCATCAACTTTCGTTCCGAATACCGAGTTGCTTCCACAATGTGGTCGTCACGATCCTCCCACAGATTGCTCTTCACTGTACCAGGCATGACGCAGACGACCCGAACTCCTTCGTCGAGGTCGGCCTGGGCCATGGACTTTGCGAAGCCGAGAACACCATGCTTCGTGGCCGCATACAGAGGGATGAAGTAGTTGGCTCGAATTCCTGCCGTGGACGATACGAGACACACGACCCCTTTTTTGTTGGTGGACAACAGCGCCTCAAAGGCAAGGCGGGTGAGTTTTATCGGGTGATTTAAGTTGATCTGGACGGTCCTGTACCAGTCATCCTCCGTGTCATCCCAGAAGTTCGACCAGGAGGGGTCAAGGACACCGGCAACCGGGGCATAGATATCGGGAGCTTCACCGAACGCTGTGACGCTTGTGGTGACCAGATTCCGCAAAGAGGTCCAGTTTGTTACGTCGCAATGTTCGAAAACCACTTCAGATTTGTCCTGTGCTGCCACGTACTTCTCAGCCACTGACGTGAGCTTCAAGTCACCGATGATGACTCTGGCGCCCCGCTGATGACAGAGACTTGCAAACGCAAACCCGATACCGCTGCCGCCGCCAGTTACAAGAACAATCTTGGACTTGATGGGAAATGCCCCAACAGGGCCGTACGTTGACATTATGAGCTGCTTAAGCGCTGATTGAAGTGGCCTCAGCTACTATCTCTTTCATATATAATATTTGCCTCTAACAGAACGTCTTCGGACCTGAGACGAGACACTAAAGTATGTCGTGCTCGGTGGTACATATTTTTGTCGTGAGGAGAGCCTCTCGTCTGTCTCCAAACGTTGACCGTCATCACCGGCCTATGACTCTCCGTTGACATGGCGCCTCGGTATCTCGGCAAGAGTAGTGTCATGCGGACCAGCACCTGCCGGTGGAAGCAAGGGTTACAGCCGACGAGCTACTGTGGTCACAGAAGTTGGGTGCTGACAATGAAGGTTAGGGAAAGAACTTGTGGTGTCCAGCCTTGGGGCGGATACATTGGCGAAGGAGGCTGGTTTTGTTTGATTCCATGGCTTGAGAAGATGCCATCTGTCGTGTTTAACGCCAGAAGACTTCTCCACGCATCAGCATTCGCGCAGTTCTGTGCAAGACAGCACTTTCCACCTGACCATTACGCATCTGAGCGCCGACTTCTACCTTACCGGAGGGGTGGCCCACCGAAATTATTCCTGACGATCGAGTACTATCTCTCAACGAGTATGGCAGAGTCCCTGGGATGTTACATGCCACCCCCAAGTTGAGAGCAATGGTTAAAGGTATGGCTCGATGTGTCTGTCCCATAGACAAGACTCTCGCAACGAGGTCGACGTCCTTTGATGTCGGCTGAGGCGTCGCAACGAGAACCATTTTGGGGATACTGTCCACCTTTGGATCTAAACCCATCATGCGTGCTCCTTCTCTGCGAATTGCATCCAACAGATCCATCTTGCCAATATTTCCATCCAGTTGATCGGGCGATATGTTGGCATCGATCCCTGCATCTGAAGCCTGAAGGATGACGGCTGGGTTTGCCACGTCGACCAGTGAAACTCGCAAAGTGAGCGGAGCCCGGTCTTCCTGGTTGTGCGGCAGAGTCAAGAGATCAACAGGGTTCCCCGTAGGTAAGCTCCTGGCCGTCTTAGAACCTCCCGGGCTCACAAAGGACAACGTGATCCGTGAGCCCGTACCGGGCACACCGTCAATGGAATAGGTCCCTTCAGGGTTGAATCTCAGTTTAGCACCGTGGTTAACTGCAAATCGGGAGTGAATTATCTTGTTGGTGTTGGTGTTGAATATTCGAACGGTGACTGTTCGCTCAGAGCCTTCCACATCGCTCTCAACGGCAGGGTCAATGAGTCCTTCATCAAGGGCAAAGGGGCCAACTGCCGCAGTCATGTTGCCACAGGTGCCAGCGAGATCCATCTTGCCGTCCTTGATACCCATCTGGATGAATGTGTAGTCGACGTCTGCATCTGGCCGCAGGGATGGCTCGATTATGCAGGCTTTGCTCAAAGACGAGACTCCTCCGCCCATGCCGTTGAGCTGGCGTCCATAGGGGTCCGGCGACCCCAAAGCTCCCGCAAGTAAGGGTTGCCAGTCTTCTTCATCTGCAGGGAGATGGTGTCGCTGGATCATTAATGCTTTGGAGGTGCCTCCCCGGTAGAACGTGGCTGGAAGAGATGGTACAGTGTCGTAGGAACCCATAGCGAGGAAACGCTCGTGTGACTAAGCAAGGCTGGGTGATATCGAGCATCAGGACAGGAGTTTACCTCAGCTGCTCGAATCTATTAAAGTCGCAAGGAGCCTGCTGTGCTTCAAAATTAGAAAACGATCTGTTTTACAGGTGGCATCGGACTGAAATCAGCCGCGCTACATGACTGAGGATTCGGCGAGTCCCACTCCGGTTCTAGAAAGCAAGCTTCTCGCAAGTGGGATAGCCGGGCGAAATTCAGCTCGTGGCTTTCGCTCTCTGGGTGTGAGTTGTGCTCTGAAAAGGGAAAAGTCTATTAGAGGATCGCGGACGTTTGAATGATAATGTGTTCGAGAAATAACTTGTTTCGAACCCTAGAGCTTTATGGTGAAAGGATCCCCCACGTCGTCACTCAGATCTATCATGACGTTCTTGAGGCGAGTATACTCCAATAAAGCTTCCGTTCCTCGCTCCTTGCCGTAGCCACTCTGTCCAAAACCACCAAATGGAGCCATGGCTGCGCTGGATCTATAGGTGTTGACCCAGACCTGTCCAGCATTCAGGCGACTGGCCATTATGTGAGCACGGCGAACGTTAGATGTCCAGACTCCTGCTGCTAGGCCAAACTTGGTGCCGTTGGCGATCTTGACTGCCTGATCCTCCGTGTGAAACGGTATCAAGGCCAAGACAGGACCAAATACCTCGTTCTGCGCTAAAGCGCTTTTTGGATCAACGTCGCCAAACACAGTAGGGGCTACAAAGAGACCACCCATTTTCTCGCTTGCTGCACGACCTCCAGTAAGCAGCTTAGCTCCATCCTTTTCGGCCTCCTCGATATAGCGATGAATAGCTTCCCACTGGCCCCGGTGAGCAACAGGCCCAAAGTCTGTCGTTATGTCCTGCGGGTCACCAAAGCGTATCGTCTTAATGCGTTCTAATATTCCCTGGAGCACTTTATCGTAGATTGAATGGTGAATGAGAAGTCGTGACCCGGCGATACAAGTCTGCCCCGAGGCTGCAAAGATACCTGCAACGCTGCCTAGAATTGCTCGGTCTAGCTCGGCATCCTCGAGGATGATATTGGCGGACTTGCCTCCTAATTCAAGTGTGATAGGTACGATGTTGTCAGCGGCCTGCTTGGCGATTAATCGACCAACATTCACGCTCCCCGTAAAGCTGATATGTCTAATAGACGAATGTGTCACCAGTGAGTGGCCTATCTCAGCCTTGCCAGCGACCACATTGACAACGCCAGGCGGAAATCCTGCTCGGCTAACAAGTTTGGCGAAGTATAAGGTGCTCGCTGTGGTAAACTCGCTTGGCTTGATAACACAAGTGTTACCAGCAGCGAGGCATGGTGCGAGTTTGTTGGTGAGAATTGCGATAGGGCTATTCCATGGGGTTATAAGCGCACAAACCCCAATAGGCTCGCGCCTAGTGAAGTCAAATGCTTGAGGGTTGTCGAGGGGTTTCGTTTCGCCGACTAACTTGTCTGCCATTCCGGCAAAAAACCGGTAGTTTCGTGCTGAAAAGAACATCTGGCTTTTGGTTTCACGACGGATCTTGCCATTGTCCAACGTTTCAATCTGGGATAAGGCTTCGGCCTCTTCTTCGATGAGGTCTGCAAGCCGGAGCATCAACTTGGCCCGTTGTACACCTGGTACTCCGCTCCAAGGCTCAAACGCGGCCTTGGCGACGTTGACAGCATTTCGGACATCTTGCACTGAAGCCTGGGCTATTCTAGCCCAAGGCTGCTCGGTGTATGGGTTCAGGGCATCCTCGTAAGCAGAGCTGCCTTTGCACTCGGTGCCATTGATGTACAGTTCAAATGTTTGCATTATGCTTAGCGAGACCGTCAAGTGAGCGCACAAAGCTGATTTTCGTGGATGGCTCCAACGTTTTGAATGATATTGACTCCGGCCATGACTGTTGTCTATTGACCATGAGTCCTAATTAGGCCAATTATATCAATCTAATGCCACAATCAGGCTCAATCGCACACTTCAGAGCAAAATCACAGACCTCATGACACGACTGGCTTCTTTGGATCGAATCTGTGGCTCATACGACATCGGCTTCGCGAGATGTGCGGAATGACTCGCTCCGAGAAAGACAGAGGGGGCCACCGAAACGCGGGGCATATATTGCTTAGCCGGCAAGTGTGTTGCCGAGGACATTGAGAGGCCGCAACGATTAACAAATATTCCAAGCCAAAATTGACCAAGTATGTGGAAGCGCTGATATCGAGTGTATACCCTTGAACCATCGTTGAACAATGTCAACGCAATCACGAAAGCGACGATGTGGTCGTCCAGCGGACTTCACATCGATGTTAGGCTGGATGGTCTAGCTTGATAGCCACTCGAAGGCACCCACCGTGACTGAGCTCACTCGTTCGTGGAATGTTCTACTCCGGGAAACAGGAATTGGGAATGACTCAGGACAGCAACTTCGACAGCAACTTCGTACAACAGCAACTTCGGTAGATACTCGGCAAAAACTAACCCCACCTATTTTGTATGGGGATCAATTCTCCTGTGTATAAATCTAGCTCCTTGTGTAATCCTTGACCTCGCCGCCGCCTGACCTCGTCGCCGCCTGTTTATATAGCCAACCTTGGTGTTGATCTCTCAGTTATCCTGTGAATCAGGCAGGAAGCCTTGTTGCCGGGCCTCGACTAGCCTAGTAGTCCGTTTGCGGACTCGTTTACCTCTACCACCACCGATCGCAGGCGGCGCTGTCGATGGTGGTAAGGCCAGTTCAGGAGAGTCCTCAGGCGAAGGACTGCGGCGCGGCCGTGGCCGTTCTGGCGTCTGAGGCACTAGGCGTGTTAGCCTAGTCAAGGTCGATGGCGGAGGGGTCTCTGGCACATCTGCCACCTCTTCCTCCCTAGTGTTTTCTATAGTAATCGGAGGTGGTCGATGTCTCTGTGGTGCCTGAACGACGTTCTGGACACCACTAGGCGTAAATCGAAAGGTGTGCATAAACGCCTCTTGAGGCCTCTTATGCGGCCGATCGAGTGCCTCTTGATAGCGCTGTTCCTGCCTCTCTGCCTGGTGTTGCCTGCGCTCCTGGCGCTCGCCGATCTCGCTAGCGATCAAGGCCCTCTCTGTTATCCTGCCGTGTTCACGTCTCTTTACCCAGGTCCGATTAGGCACAGGATCGGGCGCGCCGATAGGCAGGTTCTGTAGATCGCGGCGTCGTTCACCCAGGCGGATCAAGTCTCGTTCCATCCGTTCCTATAGACGCTCTCGTTACCTATTAAATCGCTCCCTTTCAGTGCTCTTAAGGCCCTCTCGGATCTACTCAATTATCCGCCAATTTATCATCGATTCCGTGACCTCTTACCGTGGGTAAATGTCGATAATCTAGTAGGTTGGAAACTAATTCGTGGAGGTGATTTGCGGCCCGTTTAGCCACCACTGCGGATGAAGGAGTGTCCTTGGGATAGGCTCGCCAGTCTGCTAGGCGCGCGCGAGGTAGTGTCTACAGGGTAGGAGGAACTGTTTCAGCAATAGACAGTTATAGTCGCCTAGGTCAGTATCTGAGGCCATTAGTTCACAGAGACTAGTCCACTCGTTCGTAACCTTTCTGAGGGCATAATCGCTGATAGAGAATCGTAAGTGTTGAAAGATCGCGCCCTAGGCACAGCGTGGATAACTTGCAAGCGAGGAACTGTCCGACTCAGCGATCTCTTTGACAACCCCCCTAACCGTTTGGTAGAGCCGTTTTATCGCTGTCTCAAGGTCCAGTTGGCCGTTAGTTATCTGAGTAACCACGTTGTGGTAGGACTCAGATCGCTGGCTAGATCGATGGCTGAGATTTGGTAGTTCCGCTGTGTGGAACTTGATAACGCGGTCTTCCTTATCACGCCATTCATCGAGATATTTAGGTTCCAGGAGCCGCGATTGTAGGTCGTTCCGTCTAGTCTCAAGTTCCTCTTGAGTGCCTACATTGATATAGGCCTAGGCGAGGTCAGCGAGGCCCTCGACAGTGTCTCTAGCGCTATCGCGATAGCCTTTGATTTGGTCTGTCTTATGACCCATCCTACGGAACTTCGCCTTCATCGCCTCCACAGCGTGCTAGTTACAGATCTGATGTCTGGCAGACGGAAATGACTGAGTAACTGATGAAACGATCGCCTTTGCCTGGTCTAAGATGATAACCGTAGGCGGAATAACGCTCTCTGGTAAGTGTAACTTAAGACACTCCTAAAAGAAGGTATAGGAGGCGTGGTTCTCAGACGGACAGAATAAGAACGCCACAGGAAAGGTCTTGCTATTGTTTAGCACACCAACTACAATAATCATAGGCATTCTCAGCCTATTTATATTGAAGGTTGCATCGATAATGTAGACAGATCCTATAACAAATCGAGAGGTCGCCTTGAGAAGGTCAAGGTGTGAGAACCAGATCTGCACACACTGCCTACTGACTACCATGCCAGTTGCCTCGTCAACTACCTCCTCAAGTCGCGTTTCATATACAAAACCTTCCGCCTGGAGGGCCATAACTAGTCCGTTGATTATCTTCTGATCATCCTTTGAGGCTGGCTGGTATCTGACTGAGTTATAGTACTCCTTAGACGTCAAGACGACACTAAGATCGATTGAATCAAGGATTCTGCGACTTGCAGAGAACTCGATAGTGTTGAGACGATGGGTCCTTGTATGGGCCTTTACGGCCTGAACCTCCTTAAGGCGCGATCTATGCCTAGCGAATATCAAAGGGTTCTCGCTGAGTGTGTGGCCTATATGCTCAAGAGACTTAACAGTAAGGATATAGCCTTTATTTCTACTGCCTCGTTTACTAATGGACTTCTAGGAGACACGGCAGGACCATCGGCACCCAGTGCCACGGATATGCGTAGAATCACGCTTGCGATCTGACACTATTACGCCATCTTCGTTCCGCTCAACTGTCTCCTGGAGACCTCGTGTGTTGCGAGTGCCCTGGCCGTGGTATATACACAGGAAGGAACTGCCAGGATGCTTAGGCGTTCCACCAGAAGACCTGACTATATCAAAGCCCTGGGATAGCGAGTATCCAACGAGGCGTCTATAGCAATCATCAATAGTGTCAAAAGGTTCGTCTGTAACAGGATCGGCAAGGTACGCAGGCGGCAAGGCGTTAACAGCCTTCTCAAGTGGCCTGCGGAGGTGGTCAGGACAGCCTGGCCTGGCGCGCCAGGCTGAAGATTGGGCACTCGCCATTGGTCAGAACATGAGGATCTCAACACCAAGGTTGGCTATATAGAACAGGCGGCGACGAGGTTAGGCGGCAGCGAGGTTAGGTGGCGATATTGACTCAATATTCGATTGTGTGACTTGCAAAAACGAGCGCCATACAAAATAGGTGGGGTTAGTTTTGGCCAAGCATTTAAGCGAAGTTGCTGTTGTACGAAGTTGCTGTCGAAGTTGCTGTCCTGAGTCATTCCCCAGGAATTTATAATGCAAAACGTGGGGCAGTTGAGCTCTTAGACTCGGCTAATTTGCTGCCGAGGACTGGGATTCGACGTAAGATCGATCAGTGGAGCAGATCCTAGTGGGCAGCTAGGAGTTGGCGACACGGGTAGTACGGGAGCTCAGAGTTGGAGAAATTTCAAGAGGGGTTGCCATAGAAGGATCATCTAGGCCTGGATCGTATATGTCGTCCTCGCCCATCACCAAGCATTTGTATAAGCTTACCAAAATGATGGAGTTTCCAAAACCATCTCACAATCAAATATATGTCAAGGTATCCGCCATCAACGCGGGCGAACTCACCCTTCAAGAAAAGTACTTTGTAACTGATCCATCACCGGGAGCGAAGCAAACAGTTCCCTCCCTCTCATTCTTGATCCAACATGGGAGCACAAATCTAGTGTTCGATGGTGGACTGCGACATCGCCCTGAAGACTATAAGCCATCGGTCACCCAGAGGATCAAGAACTCTCTTCTGCCTTATAGGGTCACCACTGATGCGGCCGAATTTCTCCAGACTAATGGTCTCAATCCGGCAGAAGTGAACCTGATCATACTCAGCCACGTTCACTATGATCATATCGGCGATCCCACCACTTTTCCCAATGCTCGCTACGTGGTAGGATCCGGCGCCATCAAGACTATGCAAGGCCATGGACCAGGCTACGAGATTTCACTCTTCGAATCCGATCTGTTCAACAATCACGAGGTAGTGGAACTTCCACCTGTTCTGTCCTCAAGCAACCAGCAATTAATATCGCCATCTCTCGTCTCCCAGGATCCGAATCACAAGTGGCGTCCTTTGGGCCCTTTTCCTGCCGCATTGGATTTCTTCGGTGACGGCTCGCTATATGTGATTGACGCCCCGGGTCATATGGAAGGGCATATTAATGTGCTAGCCCGAATACAGCCCAAACAATGGGTCTACTTGGGCGGCGACGCGTGTCATGATCCGCGTATTCTCACGGGAGAAAAGGACCTCGCTGTCTATCAAGATATCCACGGCCAAGATAGATGCGCGCACTTCGACAAAGAGCGTGCAGCTGAAACAGTGGGAAGGATCAGAACGTTGCTGAAGCCACATGGAGAACACAACTTTGAGGTCATTCTGGCGCATGATCATGTTTGGTATGCTGAGAATCGATATCGTTTCTTTCCTAATCACTTGTGAAGTACAAGCACCTCTTTTTTGGGCTCATATGGTCCACGAGGCATATAAAATTCTATTCCACGGGCAGATCTACTAGTCTGGCGTGGGAGTACAAAGCCCTCTTCCTCAATCGAGACTTGCCTGTCTATTATCTTCCATCTCTGCTGCCTTTGAAAAGATGTCTGCCTGCGAAAAGGGGGGAAATGCGAAATTGTGAAATATGAGGAGCAGGAGAAATCGTGGGGGTTGGAGACGGGGTTTCACTTCCCGGTAGTGGCATAGATAGACAAAGTAGTTGTTCTTAGCCAAAGTACTACAATGGCTATAGTGTCGGCGAGGCAGGAATCCCTCCCTTCGATACAGATGTCTCGCTTACAGGGGTTTGAAACCGAATCCGCCGTGCCCATACTTTCCTTTGCCCTACGTTGTGATAGCTGCCTCGGTATTTTGAACGACAAGGTAAATTCTTCAAATGTGGCTACCTACGTCTTGAAACTTGATCGATGTTGGGCATTGAACGGGTTGCATGCGAAGCTCTACTGAGGACTACCATGTCCAAGCGATTTTACTACTCGCCCGTGCCTGGCCAGCTATATGTGACCAGAATCTCCTGTGTGCATATAAGAGATAGCCTCCTGATGAGCTCTCAGAATCAAATCAATGTAGTTCTTTCTCTCTCCTGGCTTGCAATCAAAGGACCGGTGCGGCTCTGTTTTGGGGCTAGAAACGTTCACTGAAGAATTCAAAGTGCTCTTCGGTATTCTTCACATGAACACTAGAATCATCTCAAGATCACCCCTGACATGAATCTTCAAGAGAGCTTGGGATCATTTCCACACTGAGATTTGTCCTCAACATGGACCGTCTTGACCTGCGTAACGTCCGCCTCCTCCAAGGCTTCAGCGTTGTAGTGAGACTGTTTGAAGCGCTGGTGAATCTGTTCTTCTCGTGTATCTGTCAACACGATGCCGTCGCCGAAGATTTCAGCAACGTCCTCGAGTGCTAGGCCTTTTGTCTGTAGTGGGTTCAGCTTTTATCATATCCAAGGGGACAATTATTCTAGGATGATCCGAATACATACCTCTGGAAAGAACCAGATAGCTATGACATTGGCAGTTGTGAGAATAACAAATACCAAGTAATATTTCCAGCCGATGTTGTCGAATGCCGTAGGTGCCGCACTACGAAGTTTTCACAAGATTAGAGTTTTGATCTTGCTTCTGAAAGACTAGGGCTTTCTCACCTGATGAAGATCAACAAGACGACAAAATACCCAGAATAGGAGATCCCAACGCCACGAGCACGCAGTGGATTCGGGAAAATCTCCGCGGCGTAGATATATGTGCTGGCATCAACAGTCCAACCATAGAACCCTACATGGAGGAAAAGGAAGAAGACGGCCGCTTTGGCGGCAGCCGTTGAGCCAGTATGTAGGTAGACAGCAAATGTAGCACATTCGCCAATAAGAGCGATTACGACACCGGTGAGGCCGAACACTTGATACAAACAGTCAGCTGACGAGAAGAAGTAAGGGGTTCTTCAAAGCACGTACGCAACATTCGAACCCTTCCAAAATAATCAATGACAGCAGCATTGAAGGCATTGCCCAGTAGGCTGACTGTGATCCAACCGCATTGGATCAAAAGCTGATTGACGACGCTGAAGCCGAGATGTTTGTAAAGGAAAGGTCCATAATCTAAAATCCATGAACGTCAATATGGGGAAAGGTTCAAGGAAGAGAATGGGATATCATGCTCACTGTTGATAATAGTGATGCCGGTACATTGACCAGCAGCCATAACCAACCAACCAATCCAGCACCTCTTGCGTATGGGTGGACGAGTAAGGAATTCCTTCAGGGGCACATAATCCTTCATCTCTTCAAGGACTTGGGAATGTAGTAAGTGGAATTCTTCGATGATGGTATGTTCGTCATTGCGAGGTCCCGATTCGGTTCGGCAGGCTTTGAACGCTTTCAATGCTTCATTTGGTCGATTTTGGACGAGCACTTTGATGTGTGTCACTCGTCAGCCAGAAGGTCTATTCTCGAGAAAAAGAAAACACTTACACCAACGTGGGGATTCCGGAATAAACAACACCCCAATGGCCAGGAGAAGAGGCCACAACCCGCCAATCGCCAAAGGCATCCTCCATTGAGTACCACTTGCATTGACGAAATAGAAACCTAAGCCCGTCCAACTCGCCACCACGTAGCCACAGGCGATCCCCGTTCCATGCATACCGACGAGTAGACCACGGACCTTAGGCGGCGAAATCTCGCTCTGGTACAGTGGGACGAGACATACCAAAGCTCCTACCGAGAGTCCAGTGATCAATCGAGCAATAATGAACATGGCGATATGCACGCTCCCTGCAGCTAAACCACTACCGATGATGGTGATAAAGGCCGCAGATAGGATACCTTTTTTCCGACCCCATTTGTCGGGTAACCAGAAACAAGCAATACAACCGAAGAGACCACCAGCAGTGAAAAGCCCGTTGATAGCACCTAACAGAGCAGATGCATTGGAACTTGTGTCGAGCTCGAAGTACGATAGAAAGGTCGGTTGTCCGGTTGTGGTGGCAATGATACTGGATGCATAGCCATAGGTAATGCTCCCTAGGCCAACGAAAAGGACAATCTGAGAAAATCATGTTAATACAACATACAAGGGCAGAAGGATGAGTTGTCTTTTCTGGTCGCTTACACCAAACTGTACCAAGGAAATCATGGTGACGTGTCTCTGGTGGGGATTGTACTGCTAGGTTCTAGCCTGGAAGGTAGTAGAGTCAGGAACAGGTGAGGTTTTCAGGAGAACGGGCCTTAAGAGAGGAAGAGAGAGAGAGAAAGAGAGAGAGAGAAAGAGAGAGAGAGAAAGAGAGAGTGTGCGTGTGTGTGGAAACTTCTTTCACTTGCTGTAGCAGCATCGGACGCATATGGTGTTATAAAAACAGTTTACGACTCTTCAAAGTCTCAACATTGAGAACAGTCATTCGTGCCGACCAACTGTGCTCTGGACGCACAATTGGGCTAGGACAACGCTGGGAAGCTTGAGAATAGTGCTACACATGAATCCAGCTCTGCCTCAGTTAAGTTTCTACAGTCCTTGCACCCTGCCGGCGTATTTCACGCCGGTGCTCGGACTTTGCCGATCCGGGGGCCCCAACAATCCCCGGACTTGCTGACGGTAGGGAGAAAGGCATTCCGGCCCAGTATGGAGCGAGATTTATGCAGAGACTATGTTATGCTTGTCATACAGCTGCTCTGAGGTGTACAGTACTAGGTGTGACTGAATTAAGAATTTCTGGGTATTGTAGTTATTCCATTATGCCAACCCCTTAGATACGACTCTTTTTTATTCTTTTTTTTAATCTAATCTTAGTTTCTTTACATTTTTGCGAGAATAGTGTTTGATTCGTAAGATGGAATAACCGCGAAGCTAGAAGACAATTAAAGCAGTGTAGCAGCAAGGGGAGAATGGTAACTTGGGATGTTGTGGATATTGGCGATGAAGATTTGTCGACCAGCATTCAGAAGAAGGAAGACCAGCTTGAGGAAGACTTCCGTAAACAACTCCAATCAACTAGGAAGCCGGCGAAAGTTTATGGAGACGGCGACGATGCTGCTACTCTGGTCGATATCTAGCTCGGCCAGTAAGCATATTTGTGCCCACTTCTTGAATAAAGCCACTGGAGGCTCTTCACCATTTTCAATCTCCGAGGGCCACGGTAGATATACTCCATCTTGAGAAGGACCCTGGTGCTGGGTCGGTGCGGTTAAGCACCCTCTGCTTGGCTACTTTGTCAGTATGATTAGGTTCTCCTGCTGTTGGCCTGGAGTGTACAAAAGCCGGATGGGGAGACGGAGATGGCGCAAACGGGGATCGCCTGCCAAATCCTGCCAAATTCACAATCGGGGGAGGTGGATATGGGTCTGGATGTGGGTGGCGGCATTACGGTGCTTCTCCTGTCTCGTACTTGTTTTTCAACGAGTAGAGCACTTCGGTTGCTGGCCAACTGTTTCTCCGATGGAAGGTGTACAGTGATTACTATCCTGCTTGGGGAGGGTCAATGACCCATACTTTGAGCGAACTGATCGATGGAAGAATGTGTGCATATAAAGCGGGATCGTTGGCACTTCTTGTCACAGATGTATTCGCCTACAAACAGCTCGCAACCTCAACACATCAGCCCAATTATATTCGTGGTCATCAAGGAGTTTATTGTATATTCACATCCATCACTTTTCTTTCTCCATATCTATCTATCCTTCAACAAGATGGATTTCTGTCTCGACTACAAAGTTTCCTGCACGCTTGACAACCCAGAACTCCCCACGGGCAAGATAAATAAAAAAGGGCAATATTTATGAGTTTGCTACCACAGTCCTGAATTGGAGCTTTCCCCCGATGATCAAAAAATCGTCAGGGAAGGCAGAAGGCTCGACAGGTTGCTCTTTACTCTCCAAAGGGTCCCTGAATTTCAGGAATATAAGACACATCAAGGGGAACGGGTTATCTCCTTGATGCAAGGGCTTCTCTTCGGCTGGGTCAACACATTACCTAGCCAAGGCGATCTTAGCCAAGAAAAATTTCGAAAGTACAGAAAGTTGGATTTGGCAAATCAAACCTGCTGTTTACAAGGGACCTGTGACCATTGTGATCAAAAAAGGCCGTGTGACTAGAGACGGAGAGTGTATTCATGGCACCTTGGGCGCGGGGTCTTCGGGCCTTCATAATTACACGCTAAGCGTGCATAATATAAACTTCGCGATGAGAACAGCCAGTAAGATTCATGCATCCCTCCACCATTTGAATGCTTCTCTCGCCCACCTCTATTGTCTCCCACACGCGGATTCTAGAAAGACAAAAATCGAGAAGCTCGCTGTACACTACATCATCTGCTCGAATCAGGTTGATAGAGGAGAACCTTGCCTTGCATACCTACCTTCGCGGCATAGAGAAAGGCAACCATGGCTTCCACTGGCTCCAGAGCTGGTAGACTCTTCCAGGCCAACGCAAAAGGACACCAATACACGACTGCATATCCAAGGCTTCTAGGGAGCACAGCGGTCAGCTCTCGCGTTGGAGTACCTAGTCAGTCAGCCTGCAGATGTCTTTCTACGAGTTCGCCATCGTCCAAGATTTCAGAGTCCATCGACATTCCCGTTGTTGGGTCGGGCGCCGCTGGGCTATCAGCGGCACTTCGATGCACCTCCAGGGCTTACGTCCTCTGCTTGTTGAGAAAACTACGATGATCGGTGGAACTATGGCCTTTTCTGGCGGCGTGGTATGGATACCCAACAACGAGCATTTCAAATCGCTCGGTGTACGGGACAGTGAATAGCTCGCCTTCCAATACCTCGAAAACCTCATAGGCGACATTGGGCCTGCGTCGTCAACGCAGCGGAAGTTAGCCTACGTTCAAAATGCCTCCAAGGTTGTCAATACGCTTGCTGGGATGGGCTGTAAGTGGAGTCCCACGCGAGGAATGCCAGACTATCATTGTGGTCTCCCGGGATCTCTCAAAGAGGACCGGAGTATTGAGCCCGTATGGTTTAATGGTAAATCATTAAGACCATGGCGGAAGCATATCAGGGCTCTCACTTTGTTTCGCGGGCCGCCGGTGCATATTCATGAGGGTTCGAAGATCTGGAGAATCAACACTTTGGCCGGGTTTCGGACTCTAGTCAAACTAATTTTTCGCTACATCGGTCATGCCGCTATCGGTCGCGACTCTGTCGCGTTGGGCCAGTCACTTGTCGCACAATTGCTGAAAGCGAATCTTGACCGTGGGATCGAGGTCTGGCTGGGGACCTCCCTCCAAGACCTGACTGCCAATGATGAAGGGCGTGTGACTGGTGCGATCGTTCGACACGAAGGCAAGGATATACAAATCAACACCAAAGCCGTCATTCTTTGCGCAGGTGGCTTTGCTAAAAACCCTGCTATGCGAAAGCAGTATCAGTTGCAACCGACTGACACGGCATGGTCATCTGCATCACCCGACGATACAGGCGAGGTAATTCAAGCCGGTATATCGATTGGTGCGGACACCTCTCTTATGGATTGCGCTTGGTGGTTTCCAACGTTCATCGAGCCTCAGACAGGCACCCCCTACGTTAGCGTCGGCGAGCGTTCTCGCCCAGGGAACATCATTGTTGACACCTCAGGTAAACGCTTTATGAACGAAGCTGAATCATACAACGATATCGGCCCTGATCTGTACGAACGGAATAAAACTGTTGCCGCCGTCCCAGCATGGATGACTATGGACTCTGGCTTTCGGGACCGTCAACCTCTTCTCACTATTGGCCCACGGCTCACTCGGAAAAAGGCAATTGCGGCAAGATTTCTCCACAAGGCTTCGACTCTTGAAGAACTTGCGAAGAAGATTGACGTCGACGTCCAAGGTCTGTTACAGACAGTGGACCGCTTCAATAGGCTCGCGAAGAAAGGATCCGACCCCGACTTCGGTAGAGGTGACACTGCTTATGACTGCTATAACGGCGACAAAAGGGTGAAACCGAATCCCTGTTTGGCTCCTCTTTCGAATCCTCCGTTCTTTGCGGCTAAGGTGGTTCCTGGTGATCTTGGTACGAATGGTGGACTGTTGACTGATGAGCATGCGAGGATGTTGAATAAGGAGGGTAAGGTCATTGAAGGATTGTATGCTGCCGGCAATACCTCAGCTTCTGTGATGTGTAAAAAGTACGTTGGAGCAGGCGCAACAATTGGGCCGGCTATTGTGCTCGGGAGTTTGGCTGTAGACCACACAGCCGGGAAGCCGTGGACAGACAAGTCTGGGGACATATCTAAATAAAAGGGCAGCCTTGGGAATTACTGACACCGATGATTTATCTTGGACAATTTCACCTCTGAACTCGGCATAAGCATTTTAGAATCGTTCAATGTGTTGCCTCTTGAATGAAAATCAGTGTCGCTATTCAAGACAGTCAAATTGATCGTCACAAATGCAAGATGTGACGGGAGTGTGCACGATCTATCACAAAATTTTATCCTTTGCCTCTATAGCTATCTCACTCTATTGCCATACTCCGTGCTTCGGACTATGCTAACTTGATCCTCACTCGAGTTGTTCCTTTCTCTTATGGAATCTGCAGCACCGGAAAACTCAAGAAATTATGAGAAAGGTTTTTTGCCATCTCACCAATTCTACTTTCGATTGCACCACACTGTCAAGTATCTAGACTTTGTCTAACCTTCCGAGGCTAAGACGACGACATACTTGCAACAAAAAAAATTAACTGATATAGATATACCAAAATGGGCCACTATGGTTCACTAGTTCTAAGAACTGGCGTCACAAGGGACTTGATACCAGTTACGGAATTCGTTAATGCATAGAAAGCAATCTAGCTGGAGATTTGAAAGACTAGTACGACTGGTCGAGTGTTCTTCCCCACACTGGGGAATGGGAGGAGATTATTCAGGGCGATCCGGTCTACGGTAAGGTAGTTTTAAAGCGATCTTGGCTCTGAGGGGGCATCAGTTCAGGAGGTCTTCATATACTTCTTTTTAAGTTTCTCAACGACAAAGTTGCTCTCGTTGCTATGCAACGCGACCGGAACAGAGCTGCGCAGGTATGCGCAGTTGAGATAGACAAGCTAATCAGCCCTTTCAGGAACCATCACCACAAAGCTCTTAGAAGGTCCTTGGTGATCGCATGAATTTTCAACGAGAATGTGGTCTGGACATGACCCGAGAAGATTTGGAAGAAGCCGATGGCATATTGAAAGCTATACTCTTATCCTTGGGAGATACTGAGCTTGGCTGAAGCCAGCGCCCAGGTTAATTCAAATCTGGCAGCTTGATCCATAACCAACCTGGATGAATTTCACTTCCAATTATTACCATACTGTACGAGCTTAAATACTTTGACTGTACATACGGTTGTAACATTTTGCGAGCCAGATGGTTGGCTAGGTGCTTTGTCCATAGGGGATGCATGGCAAGCAGTATGAAGTTCTCCGCGTGTGCATTTGCGCCAACTCAAGCCAGGTTCGAAATTATGCTATTTATCCTCGATAGGTGCTGGACAGCGTGAGTAATGGAATGAGGGGTCGTTCAAGTTGCCCGATGCGTACTACGACGCTGGCAGCAACTTCATCGACACTGTTCAACGACACTGTTGTAAGTCCGAGGGCAGCATAGAGTCAGTTCACTTCTAACCGTAACCTTCAGAATAACTACCAGGACGAGCAGTCCGAGAGGTGGATAGAAGAATGGATGATAGGAAGACAAAATCGAGACCTACTAGTGGTATCCACTAAGTAAGTAAGTTATGTTATTGTCGTAATGAACAGTTAGAGGGAGCACCGGGACGTAGTTATTCACGAGTCCGCGAGATTAACCTCACTATATCGTAGCTATAAGCTTAGTAAAGTCCACATCGTCAACGACTCTGGTAACCATAGAAAATCTCTTAACTTATCTATTGCTGCCTCGTTGAAGAAATTGCAGACTAGCTATATCGACATTCTTTCACCTACACTAGTGGTTGAGTCACCTAGAAGAAATTTAAGTCTTTTACGCCCTGTCTCTGATAATCTCCAGGACTGGAGCACGTCTATCGAAGAACTCATGGACAGCCTGCACATTTTAGTTGAGCAAGGCCTGGATAGTCAGTGCCGCCAATACCTGCGCCTGGGCACATAGAAAGACGCCCCTTCAGTGTCTACCAAGGTCGTTGGAACGTAATGCTTCGCTACCTCGAACGGGAAGTCATTCCCATGGCACTGGCCCCTTACGACGTTATTAGTGGCGGCAAATTTCAATCTCAGGCTCAAATCAAAGAGCGTGAAAAGACCGGCGAAGATCTGCGGACCATGCTAGGTACTGGTCAGTCACCATAAGAAACCAAAATTGGTGCTGCGCTGGACCAGATAGCATAACGGCATTCAGAAGGCGCCAAATGTAATCCCATTTAATGGAGGGCGTAAGATCGATCACTTATAGGACAATATTAAAGCTTTAGGTTTGAAGTTTAGGGATGAGGAAACGAGATACCTAGAAAGTCAGAACGATTTTGACGTAGGACTCCCCGAGACATTCATCAGCGATAGTCTAGTAGTGATATAGCGGAGTTCCCATATGGTAGTAGTAACCGCATAAATTACTTATCCTAGTCCGCCGAAGCCATCTATTAAGTAGTAAACCGGGGCATGCGCTGGGCCAAATTACGGGTAGTATTTGAAGCTGAAGAATGACCGCTCTGTCCATGCTCGCCTTGAAGCCGACGTGGAAGAGTGGCACACAGACGAGATTCGGGAGATGCGGAGGAACATGGCGTGGGTCTAAAACTAGGTATATGATTAGCTAACAGCAACTGTCCCCCATTTAGCTAGGAAGGCGCGTCACTCGTATTCTCCCTGCCTGTCTATTTAGCTCTCCTTAGCTTCGGGTCCAGAATGTTGAAATTCTACATTCTATAGGACACATAATGAGGGCGCCCCCAGTCCTAGGGTCCAGAATCTAAAGCTCTTCCTCCTCCAAGATAGTCTCCTCTAGACTATGCTCTTTCCGCTGTGAACAGTTCCCAAGGCAGAAGTACAAATGGAGAACGCGCAGTTCACTTCCATTACTCCCTTCTTCCGAATTACGATACCGATCGCAGTATGATATTAACGGTAGTCTATAGCCGTAACGCAATGACAAGTATACGCCGGGCTACAAGCGATTGTCAAACTTACCCCCTGATGAAAACTCTTCTGAGTGGAAAGACAATTCTAAGACTAGTAGAAGAGAGAAATGAGGTAAAGCTAGCCACCTCATATAGGCCAATCAAATCCTTCATTATTTCTGGAAGCCTTACTTGATGTCTCTAAAGTCTCCATGGTAAGCGCGGCATCATTGTCGACTATGGCATCCCGGTTGTCGGTACCTGATCCTTGGAACCATCAACTCCTGGAGGTTGATACGAACGGAGTTTATCACCCAAGGACCTAGAGGTCCTGTTCTTCTTGCCGCGAGGCGGTAGGGGATGGCCGGGTAATCCCCCGAAAAGGGGCAATAAAAGGACAACGACCCAAGAGAAAGCTGAGCTGAACATCGACGTCGACGAACAGCCAGCACAGGTAGCGCCCAGGTTGCGAATTCTCATCAGCCTCGGGTGTGGCGAGGCTTATATCTACGTCTACGTCCAAAGATTAGCTCAATATGCCCGTTGAAGACGACGACTTGCCGACATTTACAACCGAGAATTTCTGCATCACGGACGAGACTCGGAAACGCAGCCCAGGCCTGCGTTGCTTTTCTAGTAGCGAGTAGATCCTGCATAGACCTATACTCTTACCAGAGTAGTGGAGATGAGGCGGAAGCTCGACCTCGAGGTTATCTGCTGGTTCGCTACTCCGGGCCTACTCCGTCGGTAGTTCATCGTCAGCGGCGTGACCTTCCAATTTGAAGACCTGGACAGGACAAATCGAGTCTAAGATCTCCCGGAATCGCCCGTTCGTAGGTAGAAGGGACTTGAACTGTATAGAGAGTTAACCTTCTGACATCGGGAGAATCGAGGGCTCTAAGTACCTCGTCTATGCTTCTGGATAGTGAAAGAATGCCACAGAAGTTTGACTGTGGAGTTGCGAGCCCATGGGTGGAATGACTCTCGCCTATATAGATTCAAGGAGCCAATGTTCTCAACAATTGCTAAGGAACTAAATCTACCGTGGCGAGCGGTCGAGACTATGTTCTGGCAGATGGGTAGGGGGAAGGTTGACCGGTTGGGGGGTGGTATTCGGCGAGGGTAAGGAATAAGGCTTCCAAGGCTGCCGTCAAGTCGACTTTTGCGCCCAAGATTAGTCGGCGTGACATTGTATTATTGTTCTTATATTGCTTCGCATATGGCCGGATAGCAACTATCAAGAAATAACCGCTTGGTGACCTCTTATTAAGACCAGAAAGGACCTAGAAAGTCCTGTTGACACTAGATAAACGTCTTTGTAAACCCTAGGCCCGCTTTGATCTACGGTAGCTCGGTGGTGAACGTCTTGTACTTCTGCCGGCAGGTGACAGGTCTGTGCCATGCGCCTTAAAACAGCCCACTCATGGGTCAACGCCAGCGAGGATTGCTTTTACCACCAGCCAGCAGATGACACGTCTTTGCCAGACTCCTAGGTCACTCCGGCGAAGTGAAACCAACCATAATCATTAAAAATGCGAGCGTCGCTCCCTACTACGTGGTACTGGTGCTATCTTCCTTGCTCATAACAGGCCTCAGAAACAATGTCCCGGACACTCCTTGAATACCTGACTGCACCAAACGTGCAGTTGACTATCCACTCCCTAACGCCACATTCATATACTCAATGTGAAGATTGGGATCTAGTTGAGAACATCACATTGCTAATTGTTTCCATTCCCCTACAGACATGGCTTGGTTCATAGGTCTCCGGGGTATGTATGTCCTTTCTGTCCGGACCAGCATCCCACAGTGTTCCATGGATAGGCCAAAATAGGTGATAACCACAGAGGATGGATTTATGGCTACTTCTGATAGGTCATCGCCCGGCCACCCTCAGCCTCAAAAACGTATAGGAGGGACAGCATCTCTATTAACAATCATGTTAGAGGGGCATGTAAAACGTCATCTGAAACACTTTCTCTGCGGCTTTAATCGTACTTTATCCAGTGACTTCCAACTAGCGGGTTCCGCTATAGTAATCCTATAATCATTAGGTCTGGAAGTCTAGCGGAATAGTATTGCCGACCATCCCTTTTACCTAAGGATGTATGAAATCTAAAACTATTAACCATAACTTTACGACGTTTACTAGATATAGAAGCTAATGGCCCTTATTAGATTTAAAACGTTACCTAAAATAGTATTTATAAACCATTATTCCACGAGGCTTCTCGAAATTAGGACTGATGATTTCTAATATGGGAAAAAACTGAAATAATCGGCCACCCTTCTATTAGGTCGACCGAGTAATAGAAGCCGATAACTTTTGTCCACTAGCGACGAGAACACTTAGAATAGTCTACCGCTCGTTTTGGAGGTTTCCTAGAGCGACTTGAATTGGGGCGATAAGGGTATAGTATCAGTCATGTGACGCCGCTTCTTACCATTTGCCCTTACTATTCTCACGAGAAGAAACGCTGTGGGCCGCTACACTACGCTCTTTCCTGCTGCCTATGGGCTTTCCTGCTTTGATTGGTCGGTTCAGAAAGGATGTACATTGGATCTCGCCGATTCTTTCGACAACGGTTAGCATTGCACAGGCACATTGTTTAACATCCCGGAACAGGAGCAGACTCTCACACTGATAAACGGTATGGCCTTCGTCGTCAAACGGAACCAGCAGTCATACACGCAGCTTTGACCGTTCCATTAAAGAGCTTGTCGCACATCCGATCGCTGAGAGCACTGAGGAGGAACCTGGGCAGGAACCAGACATGGGTTTGAGCAGGGCATACTTCTATCCTTATACTCGGTAATAGTATTAAGTCAGTGCACTCTCCATAGACTAATAGGCCTACATTTTGACTAGAGCTTTTTTACAAATATAGTAATAGAATAGATTAAGGGCTCCGGTAAATCATCGGGAAGCCTTAGGCGTTGCGTACTATAACTACGCTCGCGTAGTTATAGGTACGTCCATAACGTTTTGGATAGGGATACCGTTTTACTTCTCCCCAAAACCTATTGTCGTAATTGATCGTAAGTTCTTCTATATTATAAACGTCTTATATAGTAATAACGGAGACTTAATACCTTCCTAATACCCTCTAAATCTAGAGTTTAGCTATTAGTATGTAGTTATAATTCATATAATTATAGATACTACTTCTCTTATTGTAGTTAATCTAAGCGGCCTCTAGGTACTTATTAAGATCAATCTCGGCCACTACCCATTCCAGGCGCAGATTCAGCACTGGCGGGAACAGGACGGTGGTTGAGCTGATCGAGGAGCTGTCGAGGAATCAAACTCTGAGTCTATTAGCAGTTCGAGGCTGTGGGCTGCCAAAGTACACCTACAAACCACGCAACTTATTTGGCATATGGCTTAGCGATCCTTGCGACGGCAGTCAGCGTCATCACCGGCTTCTGCGCGTCCCACACCAACGGTGTATGTCACGACGCCACATTCTTTGCCGCAATGGCGAGTCCTCGCAACCCTCGCATAAATGCACTGCTACGTGGGCATAGCCTTGGTGCTCGACCGGTGCCTCGACAGATTGCCAGACAGAGATTGAGGTTTGGTGTTGTGGTGATCGACAGCGATCAAAGCAAACCTGTCCACTGCGACGGACAAGTAGACTCCGGAGAAGGCGAGGGTGAAGAGAGCAACAAATCAGACATTGGGCTCCTTGAAGCGAACGTGCTAAAGAGTGCGCATGCTTGCTTTGGGTTTGAAGGCGGAGTGACGCGTTTACAAGAAGGACAAATGGTTGTATAGCGCTATCTTAATGTATTTGACGAGAGTGGCGTCGCAGACGGCGATATGGCAGATTCCCGGCCGACGGTCTAAAATAGAACAAAAGACAAGGTACCAGGTGATAATATTGTCATAAGGGGCCAAAAGCGAGAATGCGTGGAACATGGCCGTTCCTGGTGGCCCGCGCGATGCTCAAAGGAGAAGCATTTTTCGAGCCGCAGCAGCCGCGCAACCTTCATCCACCCCCCAAAAAGATGACATGAGCTGATCTTCGCGCTTTGTTCCTGCATTCACGGCCTATTCTGATTTAATCCTCGCCAGCGCTGGTCGCATATATTTGAACAGCCTGTTCAATCGTGTCTCTCTTTCTTTGCCATAATTTCCCTCTGCACACAGCTGGAATTCGGGGTGACTGCGTCAACATCTGGGGACTTTTGCGGGCCATTGGATTTGGGACGACATGGACGCCATCACGCCTCAACGCCGGAAGAAGATCCTGCGGGTGCTGTTCATCTCTCTCCTTCTCGACCTGGTAGGTTGGAGCGCGTGTAGAAGATATCTCCAACGTCCCCGGGCTAACGGATACCATTGCCAGATCTCGTTTACATTCATCCTGCCTCTCTTTCCCTCGCTGCTCACCTTCTACCGCGGACTCGAGACGCACCCCAACTCTGCTCTGAACCGCATCCTTCACTACCTGAACGCATACAAGTCGTCCTTTGCCGTGCCCATCAATGAGAAATACGATATAGTTCTGCTCGGGGGCGCACTGGGCTCCCTGTTCTCGCTTTTGCAAGCCATCGCATCCCCGATCATCGGACGGGCGTCGGACAAATATGGTCGAAGAACGGCGCTGCTATGGAGCATGTGCGGCAATATTGCAAGCGTGGCGCTCTGGTGCTTCGCGGTGGACTTCCGCACTTTTCTCCTCAGCCGCGTCGTGGGCGGGTTGAGTGAAGGGAATGTCCAGCTGGCGACGGCCATTGCGACGGATATCAGCACAGAGGAGCAGAGAGGATCGACCATGGCCCTAGTGGGCGCGTGTTTCAGCGTGGCCTTTACCTTTGGTCCCGCAATGGGGGCCGCGCTCGCAAGTATCACCACCGTGATCGCCAACCCGTTTGCGACAGCCGCTGGCTTTTCTCTGCTCCTGATTGTTCTCGAGACGCTATACCTCTATTTCCAGCTTCCCGAGACAAGACCCGTGAAGGCTACGGCTTCCGACTCGAAGACTGCGAAGTCCGACTCGACCCCTTTCCAACATACCAACAACCCCATGATTCTGAACGTTATCCACCTGTTGTTCCTCCTCCCTTTTTCCGGGATGGAATTCTCCTTGCCGTTCTTGATCACCTCTGTTCTCTTCCCCGACACTCCATCACCCTCGAAAATCAACGGCCGATTGCTGGGATTTGTCGGATTGATTGCTTCGCTGCTTCAGGGATCGATTGTCCGTCGCCTGCCTCCTCTGACGGTGGTGAAAACAGGTGTCGTCTCCAGCACTCTGGCCTTTTTTCTCCTATCTCGTATAGACAACACGACGGGCTTGTACTGCGCGGGCGCATTACTTGCCGTGACCTCAGCTACAGTTGTGACGGGGCTGAACAGTTTGGGTAGCTTTGAAGCGCGAGAGAGTAATAGAGGAGAAGTCTTGGGAGCTCTGCGGAGCTGGGGTCAATTCGGAAGAGCATTGGGCCCCGTTGTGTTTTGCAGTCTGTTTTGGTGGGCTGGTCGCGAGACGGCCTATTTGATCGGTGGCAGTGCTATGTTGGGCGTTACCGTCCTGGTTTTCACCATGTTGAAGGCTCCAAAAGTTGAAAAGAAAAAGGTATGATGTGACATTGGAAACGAAATGGTCAGATGAGACACAAAAATGATACAAAGATGAAAATCGCGGGTGAAGAGACGTTTCCGTTCTTTGTCGGTTGATCTGGCTGACGAGGTCGACTGTCCTGCGCGCAGCTGCGGCGTCGTCACATTTGCGCTTCACGCACCCGACTTACTCGCTTCCCATTTTCTGCCGCTGACTTCGAACTGTCGTTCTTTTCGTTCCCTCTACGGCTTCAATCCAATCCTTTGGCCCATATCGGGTTGGCGTCCCAGTGCTGTCGATCTCTAGCACATTCACTCACTCAGCTCACTCTTTCGAAACAACGACACTGTCGACCTTCGCTTTACCCGACTTCATCCGCTCTCCCACAAAATTTCAGACTCGACGCGATCACTTGTTCCAAAATCTAGACATCTTCGATCTGAATGTCAGCTGCGCGCCACAATACCAAACCGTCCAGCTTCTAGACGCGTAAGAGTGCTGGAAAAGGTGAGTGCCGCGCCGGCCTTGTCTTGTGATCCTTGCAAGAGGCTGACGGTGTCGATTTCGAGAAAGGGAGTACACACTACCACCAGCCTGATGTCGCGTTCCGACCACGAGATAGCCATCGCGCAGGACCAGAACCACTTTGTGCTTCTCGTAGAGCGACTTCGCTGCTACGGAGACCAGTGCCCTTTTCCCGCGTGCTGCTCACCGTCTCAAACACCCGAGAAACGATCTTTGCCGCAAAAGGACCTTCCCGAGCAAGCCAAGGCGCACGACGCGACCGTCGCGAGGCTTCATCAGGCATGTGCCACACTGCGGATCCCTCCTCGCGCTGAGGAATTTGCGCAACACCTATTTCGGCATTTCTTCAAGCCCATCTCTTTGCCGCGGACCTTTGGGGAGGCGCACAAGTCAGGCATTGCCGCTTGTATCTGGGCCTCATGTTCGGAACACAAGCTCAGGATCAACAAAGACAATATCTGCGCGGTTGTCGGCGTCGGCATGGAGCACTTGCAGTCTGCTCTCTGGCCGGTACAAGAGTCCTATGTCAAATTCAAGAACCAGTATTTCCGGCGCAAACTTCGTACAAAGGGTGAAGCCAGAGGTGGCATCTATGACCACGCCACCAGACGGCGCAGGAGGCTGTGTGGGAGAGATGTCAGTGGAGAGCTGAGGGCCCAGATCTTCCTCATGGCCAGTCGGATGTGATGGCTTGCGCGCGGAGTCCGCAAGTCCTGCGTGGCCTACGGCGCCCTTTCGCTTCTCAGACCACATTGCACAGACTTTGGCGTGGGTGGGAGGTGCCGTTTGTACAGGGGAACGGGGAAGAAGTTGAACGTGAAGTTGTGCGACACTTTAGACGGGGCCAGAGCTCCAGAGCTCCAGAGCTCCAGTGCAGCACCCCACGCGGCACCGCAGGGCCACAAGGGCATCGCGATGGAGAGGCGATACGGATTGTCGGCGGTTTTGTTGATGATGGTTTCCAGAGCTGGGCATTGTTTGATATGAGGTAATAATCAACAGCAAACATTCTGCTCCTGAAGACAGATTGTCAAGAGGCTCATGGTCTGTGTTCATGCGTGAAACGGTGCCAATGTCTTCATGGTTCGGCTTTGCTGTCGCTGATGATGAAGAGCGACCTCGCTTTATCCCCCGATTACCCTGTCGCAGGCGTGCATTACGTTGAGGCATTCGTCGCACTGTATATCGCTTCACCCATGGACGCCGACAAAGCCGAGAGCTTTCCTTCTTTTCTTCGCCCATGTCCATCACTAGGTAAGTGCCTCTCTGCCACTCCAGATTTGTCGTCCTGTCTTTCTTCCTGCCCTGCTTGACCAGTCCGCGTCGACCATGATGTTTTCCGGGCTCCTGAGAGTACTTTGCCCTCGCTCCAGAAGTCCCCCTATTCAGCCCAGCCGTCCCCCTGCCATAGACATCAACCGCGCCCTTGGTCTTCTCAGTCATGCAAAGCGTTCGCGGGCGTGCACGCCGAGACCTAGTCTCCAGACTTCTTCACTCCCACGATTCTTTTGAAGTGAAAACTCCGAGCCCGTGCGACCTTCCATCAAAACTCGGTTTCTGACCAAAGAGCCTTTTGATTCTCTCTGTGCTTGGAAGCGATCGTATAACCGTCAAGGCGTCCCCGTTCACAACGTACACGACACACAACGATTCCAAAGGATCTCTCCATCGACAACTGAGACGGTTTAAAATCTGAATGACGGCCGCGAGTGAGAAGAGATTCAAATGTCCAACCTGAGTGCCGTGCCCGTCTGAACAGCAACAAACACTGTCTCCTTGATGTCGCTGTCGTCTACCGGCACAATCATATACGAACCGAGCAAGCGAGCGTCCTCCCCGGCTCTGACTTCCTGTCCACAATGAAGGATATGTTCCTTCGCTTGAGAGCAAACCTGGAGAGAGTTCACCAGGAGAGAGAACGCCTGGGGAGAGAAAACGTGGTGAGAGAATACCTGGAGAAAGCACGCCAGGAGAGAGAACAGGTGGAGAGAGCACACCAGGAGAGAGAACGTCAAGCCAGAGAACATCAGGCCAGAGAACGTCAGGAGGAAGAGCGTCAGAAGCGAGAACACCAGGAGCAGCTGGTTTTGCGGCACAAGTTGAAGAAACGGATGCGAGAGTTGCGCAAAATGCGGGAAGCCCAGCAGAAGAAGGCCGATGCCCTGGAGAATGCGCGTCAGCGGGTACAGAGGTCGGTGGACAGGATCGTCAAGGGCCACAGCGACCAAGAGAGGAGGAGCGTCAGGGAGAAATACCTCAAGCGGCACGAAGAGCTGAAGAAGGCGGCGGGATCTAAATACGACCCGACCTGGAAGAGAAGTGAATTTGCGAACTGGGACTTTGGACTCCCGGGCCCGAACGGTGAGAGGGAGATCAATCCTTTGGATCTGATGGATTGAACATTCTGGAGAGTGTGAGAAGGCTCGAATTGGCGCCCAACTCTCTCAGGCGAGGACTCTTTTCCTCACCTCAAGGTCGTCAAGTCGTACATCTCGCGTGGTGCAAGGTTGAATCTTTGGATAGCATGAGGAGGAGAAAAGCATTGCTCTCGATCTCAAATCAAATGTAACCTTCCTTGGTCCTGCGAGCATCCGCCCCCCCCCCCCCCCCCGACCCCTGACCCCTCCTCTTCTCTGCCTTCATATGAATCAGGATCATCGTGACGGCGTGATAGGCTTAGTACGGTTTGAAGGAAAAGTCTCCGAAGTCGAGATTGGACACTAGGAGACACGCATTGATGATCAGCATTCAATACCGCGATGTCTTCGCTGAGTTTCGACAACGCTCCCAAGACGATTCAGGTGGGAGCTAGAGAGAGAGAGTGTGTGTGTGTGTGTGCAACTTACTCTGTTCGAAAGCACCATACGCTTCGTCGATGTGCTCGTTGACGTGCGCGTTCACGCGGTCGTTGTGGCACAAGGATTCAAACTGCAAGTACGAGACGACAGGCTGGTCGGCGAAATCGTCGGTGCCGCCACGAGCCTGGTAGTCCAAGGGCGAGAGAGTCCCGACGCGTCCTGTTCCTGGAGCCGCACTCGCGGTGTCCATGCCCACCTGGAAGGGAGTCGACTTGGGCATCACGTTGGTAGAGAGCTCTCTGTGTGGCTGACGATAGCCACCACTGTCCTGCGACTGCCTCGGGGCCAGCGTCGGAGCCAGTCGGTCCTTGGTGATGCCCGTGTGGTCTGGCGGGCGGAGAGCATTGTCCATCTCGCGCTGCATCGTTTTCTTGTACAGCCGCGTGAGCATCTGGTCGGTGTGCTTGGCGATCTTGCTCTCGTCCTTGATGGCCCGGCACGCCGCAATGATCCGCAGCACCCCGGCCTTGGCCTCGCCCGCCATCTGGCTGTACGGCTGGCACGTTGGCGCGATGCACAGGATCACCCCGGCCGTGAAGAGGTGCATGAGCACGAACGACTGGGCGAGGTGGCCCTCGAACTCGTGCACGGGCACCCGCGACATCCGCAGCGCCGCGCGCACCGACGTCCCCAGGGAGTCCGGGATGTCGTCGCAGGCGATCTTGTCGTTGCTCTCCTTGGGAGAAATGGAGATCCGCAGTTTCAGCAGAGGTCGGTGCGCCCATACTCGGGCGGCGTCGTACAACAGCTGCAGAATGAACCCCTGCAGCCCGATTTTCCTCCTCAAACTGAGTTCCTCTGGATTACACTGATCAAGCTCGAGGACATTCCAGGGTTCGTCGGCGGGCCATTGCGACGACTTGAAGACCGCGGGTAGATTGTCGTGCCACTGCTTCAACATGAGCTCGGTGCTGTTGACCACTTGGATCAGCGCCTTGAGATCCTGAACAGAGACCGGGCTCTGGAGTTGCAGGACCCTGAAGCTCTGCAAAGTCTGGCGGATGATGTCGTAAAGCTCAAACTTGAGCGTGTGGTAGGTCAGAAACGTCACGGGTCGGCCGGGTTCTCGCAAGACTGGCAGAGCCGCCGTGCCGTCGGGTAGGTCGGTGTCGTCCAGGTCTGCGAGCTTCTTGAATTGAGCAAAGGCGGGATCGAGGGACGCTGGACGCCCGAAGATCATTGACGAAAACTGATCCGACACCACCAGGTGATTCCAGCATCGATTGCTGACCTCACGGGCAATCTCATCCGTGTTTCGAGCCTTGTCGCAATGGAGAGCCAGCGCATACGCCGCCCGAGTGGAAACGCCCGACACATTCCACGCAAGGGTCGATGACCCATAGTACACATGGTAAATGGTCAGCAGCATGCAAATCTGAAACAACTCGATGCGGGACTCGAGCATCAGTTCGTAGAAGCGCGACGCGATGTGCGACATGAGGTCCGAAACGAGCGACTCGGCCGTCACCGAGTAGGCTGCCAGTAAGTGGTGCCCTTTCCAGGTCTTGTCGTGTTCGACACATCGCAGCCCCAGGGCCGCGACCGTCGCCACCAGGAGCACATCGCACAGCTCGTCGCGCCTCCACGCGGTTCGTCGGAGGATGTTCTGCGTCCGAACCGCGAACGACGGCTGGTGGAAGAGCATGATGTACCAGTTCACTCGGTCGAAGTAGGCGTCCACCGCGATCTGCAGGATGGTCTGCGACGGCAAGGGCGTCAAAATCGAGCTGAAGGACTGGGGATCGGTGGCCGAGCGTCCCGGATCGCCTGGAATGGCTCCGCTGGTCGGCGAGTCACTGTCGTCGTCCTCCCCAAGTAGGATTTTTGCGAAGCCCATCGACGAGTCGTTGGCGCCAAACTGCTGGCTTTCCTCGGGACTGGTCCTCGACACGTCCGCCACATCGAGACCAGTACCGTCGAAGTGGGAGGAGCCGGATGGGTGCGTCATGTCGTTCAAGGGGCTGCAGGTTGTGTTCGTCGGCACCTGTGCGACACCGTGATGGGCATAACCTGATGCAGCCAGTGACCCCGTCACTCTATCGCGTCGTGTCACGTCTGATTGAACTGATCTCTTTCGCTTCAACGGCGCATCCTGTGTCGACTGCGGTTCGCATGCGACGCCGGCTCTGACACAGAGGATGCATGGCTTCTCCACGTCACACTGATTATTTCTCACCTTGTATCAGTATTCTCCGAGATGTTGTGGAAAGGTGGGATGCGCGGAGAGATAGGATATACCTTGAGTTTCTGGCGGCGACACCGATCGCACGCCCAGGCAAGCCTGCTAGAGCGCTGGGTGTTATCCATATGCCAACAACTTGTATAATGGATGCACAATGCCTCAATTGAGTGGTTCGAGGTCTGAATGAGGACGTCAAAAAACAAGATGCCAATGATTGCTAAAGCTTCCGGCCTGATCACGAAACGATTCGTCTAAAGCAACGTGCGACGCTGCGCTAACTGGCCTCGTCCAAGGTGGATTCGTGGCGGAACCAAGGCCGCTTTGCAGAGTGCGGGGATGAGGGACATAACCTCGAATCTATATCGACTTCCACGCTATGAGCCTACTACGGGCTATTCACTCAGGAGAAGGAAAGTCTTTCTAGGCGGAATGTCACTGAAAGTTCGCGATGAGGCCTTTTTACAGGATGCATGACGCAGAGGAAGAGCCTCTCATACTGAGTGGCCAGCAAGGTTGAGAGAATCTCCAAGTCCCTCATGTTCATCAAAGGCATCGCCTACTTCAGAGTTGATTTGCGACGATCTCCAACCAACATTGACTTTGACTTTTGACCTTGCAACTATGGCCCGGTAATGGCCTCGTGGGAATGGTTTTGCGGTGCCCAGACCCAGCCTCGCCATGTTGCGCGTCCACATCAATGCCTGACATATTCCGAACTTCTCCATCACGACCCAGTCGTAAGCAACCCGGAATTTTCGAGACACCAGCGGCAAGCGCAGCGAGGTAGGACATGTGGCCATCAGGGCTCTACTCCACCTTCACCGCAAGGTCTCCCACAGTCGGCAGTTGATGCTCCAGGTCGAGACGTCTGCTAAGGCGCGTCCGATCTGGTTAGATCTTCGAGCAGTCCAATGATCGACGAGACACCGACGAGCCGTGCGCGCCCGGGAACATTGCGCCCGGGCTACGAAAGTCCTCCTGTTGGTAATTGGAGAGATAATTATGTCCGGTGGACGCGCAAACCAGGTCTAGAGGAGCATTTCCCCGCATTCACCCCTGATATACGCTGTCCTTGTACGAGCCATGCACAGGAATATTCTGCTCGGCATTGCCGGCCCTATTGTCGATTTTCCCCGCAAGTTGTCGGAAAGGCTATCACAATCAGACACGGCGATGAAAGTAGACGAGAGCCTAGAGTGATTGTATCCGCACGATGTCAAGTTGTTGATCCTGTTACCATTGGACAGTCCAGCATGCCTGGGACTTCTTGAGCGTTACAATGGATGGTACAAGAGAGCACCGATATAGATCTCTGTCATAAAGACAGCCTTCAGCCTCGTCGACAACACCAGATATTCATTGTACTCGATATCATGTCTCGTTGGCCATTAAGGAGGAAGAGTATGAAGCTTAGAGGGGAAGCTTCTTTTAGAGCCACTAGTAGCCCTTGCACTAATCCCCATTAGGACTATTGGCGCCACCACGTCATCGCTCGTATATCTTGCCTCATCAACTTTCCTTTGGCTATTTACCAGGCCTTCACCTCTTTCTTTGATACACATATATTGGCCATGAAATCAATCACAATGCGTTCTCCATCCTGCGGTCAAGTGAAGATCCGCGATTTTTGGAGAAATTCCACTTCCACCGGACGAATTCTCCGCCGGAGAGTCTAGCCCTGATGGGGAAGTTCCCCTGCCGTATGCCGTGCATTGATGGCTTCAATTCCTACTCCTTGCGCACTCTGGGGAGCCACGAGTATGCGGCCAAAGAGATGGGGGAAGGAAGCAACGACATGTTCCTGCCTAGCTCCGCCACTCCGCTTCTCACACTGCATCGAGTGACCGCAAAGCCGGGAACATGCTATCAAGATCTGTATAAAATCCGCCTCGGTCCATCTAGGAGGGTAGGAGCCATCGCTCTTTCTTCGCTACACGACAGCGTTCATTCAGTCTTCAAAAACCGCTGATATGTTACGCGTGACAGTCTTGCTTCTTGCAGGCGCCGTCTGTTGCACGGCAGCTCCGGCGCCTTCGTTACCCACCGTGGACTTAGGCTACGAACTGCACCAGGCAACATACAATGTGAGCAAGAAATACCTTCCAGCTCAGCGTTTGATCTAGCCCAGATATTGAAGTCTCTGCAGGAATCTGGCCAATACTACAACTTCTCCAATGTGCGGTACGGCGCACCTCCGGTCGGGAATCTACGCTTTTCGGCTCCAGTCGCCCCTAGCACCAACGGCACCAAAGTTTTCAACAACGGCTCCAAAGCTGTGACTTGTTTCCAGGTACTGCCAGCATGGGGCATTTACTCTGCAGACTGGATTGCCAATGGCACGGCCGCTTTCAATATCTCCGCTGGATACCAGGTCCCTCCACTTGCTTCAACCCCGCCACCCGATCCTACTGCTACCGAGGACTGTTTGTTCCTTGATGTGATGGTACCGCAAGCTGTCTTTGAAGCTGCTGGTCAAGGTACAGGGGCACCAGTGTGAGCAGATCTGACCTTGGAAGGCTAGCCAACCCTACTGACAGACTACCTAGGATGGTGTGGATTCACGGAGGAGGGTACACGCTTGGATCCAAGACTCTCTATAGCCCTTCTGCGGCAGGTCTAATCAAGGCTAGCCAGAGTCAAGGAGGTAAGGGGATAATCTGGGTCGCAATGAATTATCGCCTGGGAGCTTTTGTATGCCGTCAGCCGCACTTCTTCGAAATTGTTGCGTTCTAACACTCTTGGGCAGGGCTTTCTCTCTGGTCCAACATTTCAAGAGTCTGGGACGGCCAACGCCGGCCTCTATGACCAGCGCCTCGCACTCGAATGGGTGCAACAACACATTTCTAAATTTGGTGGAAATCCGAATCATGTTACCGTGATTGGAGAGTCAGCCGGAGGAGGCAGCACGATGCACCAGATCACGGCATTCGGCGGCCTGAAGGGAAAGGTTCCTTTTCAGCAGGCTATCGTGCAGAGCCCTGGATTTCAAATGTCACCCAGCGTTACGCTGCAAGAGGCCATCTACACCCATTTCTTGGCTATCGCGGGGATCAACAACCTCGACGAGGCTCGAAACTTGTCTACGGAAGCCCTTCGATTCGCCAACTACAAGCTTGTCGGGGGCTCGAGCCCATATGGCACATTCACGTTCAACCCCGTTGTAGACGGGGCGTTCGCCCCCGATCTCCCTGGGCAGCTTCTCCTTCACGGAGGGTTCGACCAGTCCCTCAAGATCATGGCCGGTCACAACATCAACGAAGGTATCGGATTTATGGATCCCTTTGCCCAGAATGAAACCGTCTTTGAAGCCGATCTTCGCATATACTTCCCCACCATCACGGACGCTACCGTCAAATACATCTCCCAGACACTGTATCCGCCCAAGTTCGACGGTTCTGTGGGTTATACGACTCCCACAGGACGAAGCGCGCTGATGATCACGGAGGCGTTCTTCACATGCAGCACCAATTTCCTGGCTCGCGCGTACAACAACAGTGTGTTCAATTACATATTCAGCGTTCCCCCAAGCCTTCATGGAGACGACGTTCCATATACCTATTACGATGGTCCTAATCCCTTGGTCAAGAATGACACATTGGCTGTCATCATGCAGAAGTATTTCACGAACTTTGTGATGACGGGCAATCCGAATGGAGCAGGACTGCCGTCGTTCCCAACATATGGTGCGAATACCACGGTGCAGAATCTGAACCTGACAACGATTGGCCCGATGAAGGATAATGCTGCCAATCAGAGATGTTTGTGGTGGCAAAAGGGTCTGTACGCATAAGGCTATCGCTCTTAGTAGTCTCCCCGACAACGTACGGGGTTTATATGTATCAGAGCCTGGTCGACGAGGCTGTGTGCTACAGCCTTGTGCTGTCTGGATGTTACAAAGCTGACACAAGCCTCGGGAAAATCGTTGATCCGCCAAGACGGACTTCTTGCCCTTAGGAGAAAAGCAATTCCCCGGAGCCACGGAAAAACTACGGGGCAGGCCGGATAATCGTTTCGACGTCACCCGACATCATTGTTGTATGGAGTAAAAATCTCTCAACATCCCGACGACGCGAGAACCGCTAGAAGGCTTGACTTGAAAAATTATCACGCGTTTCTTTTTCCCTGATTCTTTTCCTCCTGCGCGCTTCTAGATCAGACGCAAATGAAAGGTGATAAGAATCTGCTGGCAGAAGCCCGTGCACGGCGTGATTTGCGAAATGACCCAACCCTCCCAAGTTAAGTACAAGTACTCCGTACCTTGCTCCACACACTGCCTCGCACTACGATCTCGATGTTTCCGCGGTGAGGAACTTCCCGAGCAATCTCTCTTATCTATATCAGCCCCGTCATCGTCATAGCTACATTGAACACCACCACTGCAGGAAATCCTGCACATATAAAAATAACCATGGAGACCCCTCTATCTACAGACGAAGAGCACCACGCCATGGACCTCGAAAAGGGCTTCCGCTCCTCAGCCTTCCCTGTGCCGACTCGACTCCGGCTGTGGTTGACGTCCGACATCGACACGAGGTGGGCGGACACGATCCTTCTGGCGTGTTTCTTCGTGACGGGGATGGTCGACTCCGTCGCGTTCAATACCTGGAGCTGCTTCGTGGGGATGCAGACTGGTAAGCGATCCATCGGATCTCTAGCCGAACCAGACCTGGAGATTATTGACCCGGATTCATCGCAGGAAATACCATTTTCGCCGGCCTGGGCGTCAGTGATCTGCCGGGCAACGTGCCCCGGCACACCTGGACGAAATCGCTGGTCGCCATCCTGTCGTTCTGTCTGGGCGCACTCTTCTTCTCACGGTACCATCGGCACCTCGGCCCGCTCAGGCGATGGGTTCTCGCGTCGTCGTTCTTTCTGCAGACGGCGTTCATGATCCTGACCGCGGCCCTGATTTCCGGCGGGGTCGTTGCCAAAAACACCCAAGGGGTTGAGACCGGCGCCGACGGCGGACGGGGCAGCTTCCCGTGGCACGAGCTGTGTCCCATCGCGCTGCTGGCGTTCCAGAGCGCGGGCCAGATCGTGGCGAGCCGCGTGCTCAAGTACAACGCCCTGCCGACCGTGGTGTTGACGAGCCTGTTCTGCGATCTGATGGGCGACCCGGACCTGTTCACGGCCGGCTTGCTCGAGGATCCGGACCGGAACAGGCGCGCCTTGGGGGCGGTGTTGTTGTTCGCGGGTGCCGCCGTCTCGGGGGCCCTGATCAAGACCTCGGTCGGGTATGATGGGGCGTTGTGGGTCGCGACGGGCGTCAAGGGCGCGATGGTGCTGGCGTGGTTGGCGTGGAGTCCGAAGAGGCAGCAAGTCCAGAAATGATCGACCGGGTCCAGTGTCAATTTCCTTGCCCACACCGGCAAGCGTATACCTGTCCAGAAGCTCGACGCCCAAATGCGAGACGGACTACCACAGAAGTGAGAACCCGCGTTATGGACCAAGTTACCAGTGTCAAGCGAGTCAGCGCTCTGCTTGTCGCGCCACGCGGGATACGCCTCGGCCCGTCAAGCAAAACTCGACCAGCACCGAACTCGAAGCCAGATTGGCCTCGCCTGGGCCGTGTGTGCTAGTGAGCAGGCGATGCGCCGAGAAGCTCTCTATCAGGGCTGCCGCTCTCAGGACTGCAGTGGCCCGGCCCTGTCGACGAAAGGGTTGCTACGGTCGCATGGCCAGAGTGTGAAACTCTTTACACCTTGAAAGCGTGCCCACGCACGGTCCGTGAAAGAGCATGTGTTCTCCGGCCGGAGGTAAAGGGCTTAGTGTTGAGTCGCCCCTAGACGGCTTGGAACAGGAAGGACCACGAACATGTACCATCCAAAGATGCACAGAAGCGTCCTTTAGAATCATCCAGACCATATTATATCTTTTACAAAGAGCTACGGAAGAGCACCCCCATTTCCCAGATGGTGATACCCTTTTCCAATGCCGAAATCATTAGACTAGTCCCTTGATCTTTTATTCCCTCTCCTAAGGCACATCCTACCCTGGGCAATCACGGCCCATCTCTCACCACTTGGGGATGCTGGCGGAAAACTCTGGGTCGAACCTCTTCATGTAGGCGGTGTCGTCGCGCTTGCGCAGCCCACAGGCCAGATACTGCCGGTGGAGGCGCGCGAGTTTTTCCCTGTCGAGTTCGACGCCCAGGCCGGGCGCGGTGGGCACCACCACGGCCCCGTCCACCCACTTCAGAGGACCTTCGTGGTGGTGGGGTCCGGTGACGATGACGTCCTCGTCGCGGCGCTTCCACGGCCAGTGCGTGTCGCAGGCGTAGTCGAGGTTGGGGGTCGCGGCGGCGAGGTGCGTCATGGCCGCGAGCGAGATGCCCAGGTGGCTGTTGGAGTGCATCGAGAGGCGCAGGCCCCACGTCGCGCAGACGGCCGCCAGCGTCTGGGACCGGCGCAGGCCGCCCCAGAAGTGGTGGTCGGAGAGGATCACCTGGACGGCGTTGTGTGCGACGCTGGCGGGCAGGTGCGCGAAGGCGACCACGGCCATGTTGGTCGCCAGGGGCATCGTCGGCGCCGCCCGCGCGACCACGGCCATGCCGTCGATCCCCGCCGCCGGGTCCTCCAGGTACTCGAGGACGCCGGCCAGCTCGTCGGCGACCCACGTCGAGGTCTCGACCGTCCACGCCGCGTTGGGGTCCAGCCTCAGCGGCACGCCGGGGAACGCGGCGTGGAGGGCCTTGATGGCTGCGACCTCCTGGGCGGGCGGGAACACGCCGCCCTTGAGCTTGATCGCCCGGAACCCGTACTCGTCGACGATCTTGCGCGCCTGGCGGACCAGCCCCTCCGGGTCGAGGGCCGCACCGTATTCGTCGTCGCCGTCCGGGTCGCCGGGGTGGCCGCCCCATTTGTAGAAGAGGTAGGCCGAGTACGGGACCTTGTCCCTCACCCGGCCGCCCAGCAGGTCGCTCACGGGCACACCGGCCAACTTGCCCTGGACGTCGAGGCACGCGACTTCAAAGGGGGAGAAGACCTTGTCGGCGACGGACGCCGTGGTGACCATGCCGGCCATCCCGTCTCCTCCCGTGTCGGTGTCGCGGGCCAGAGACTGCACGCATGCTTGGAAGATGGCGTTCGTGTCGTACACCGAAATCCCTTTGATTCCTTCCGCTGCCCTCTGTAGACGCGCCAGGTGTGCCGAGTCTCCGTACGACTCGCCCAGTCCGTATGTCCCATCCGTGATGACGAGCTCGACAATGCTGCGCAACGCAAACGGCTCGTGCACGCCGACGCTGTTCAGCAGGGGCATGTCATGGAACGCCACGGGCGTGATGACGACGTCCTTGACCCTGTGTCTTTGCGACATGTTTCGGAATCCCAGAGCAGGATCATAGACAGCCGTGGCTCACAGGGGTGCTGAGAAGATTGTAAGGGCCAGCAGGAGGATGAAGAGTAGGTGCCCAGGGACTGGTTGACTCCGTTCTGTGCAAGATGTTCCCCTCCATCTCTTCTAATAGTTGATCGTGTTTGTCCATACGGAGGCGAGCGGCGATCCTACCGACCTTCGCCGTCTGGTCTGCGGTTGCTGCAGTTGGAGATGGAGAACGAGATGGTGGTTGACACGGACGTGCGGAGTCTTGTGTAGGGTCGCTCAACGCATGCAGATAGTTTCTATCGTCGTTGTAATTGACACACTTTGTCACAGGAGTCCTGCTGATATGCAGAACATGCCAGATTGACCAAGTTAGGATCATGCATCATCCAATTCTGTGGAGTGGCTTACGAATGCCCCCTCCTCCACTCAGCCTTGTATCACTATCGATCCAACAGCAACCCATGGCATTAGTGAACAACGTCGATACATCATCATCATGTCCACTGAATCAGCTCGCTTCCTTGTAAGATCCGCTTGAATTTCAAGTCATTTCGTCCTCAATCCCCATCAGCCTGCGCTCTGCCACCTCCCTGATCTTGTCCTCCAGCACCGTCCTCCCCCATCTTCCGGCAACCTTGGCCGCAGCCTCAAGCATCTTGCCGCTGCGGTCCTTCAGCAACCCTACAATCTCAAGGGCCTTCATACCCCTCTCTTCACCTTCGCGGCACTCCACAGCCAAGAGTTGAAGCAAAATCTTGTCGACCTCGACTTCTCGTCTCATAACTTCGGTCTTCTGCGAGGGGCTGGCCCTTTGTTCCAGACCTTGAACATGGTCGTCAAGCAATCCCAAAATGACAGAGCTGCGGACAAATGCTTCTTCCAGCCTCGCCGCGGCGGCAGCATTGGATTCTTCCCCTTCATCACCATCGACATCCTTGCTGTTCTCCACGGGCCTGCAGACTGGTATATTGAACTCAAACTCTGTGAGCAAAGGTCGAGGAAAGTATGGAGTCTTGTCTCCGCCTTTCAGAATAATGCAGTGAAACTTCTGGTCCGCCACAGCAACAGGCCAGTACGTCTCTTCTTTCTTCCCATCTTTCAACCGATCTAGTAACGTGGTGTCAAGCAGAGGCACCCATTTGGCCTGCCCCAGCGCGCGCCAGTGCATGAGGGTCAGGAGCACACCATTGCTGTCATAGATACATGGGTCTCCAGAATCGCTCCAGAAAAGGTTCTTCAAACTCACTTCTTCCTCGTCGGAGTCCGACGGAACCGTGCCCAATGCAAGGACGTCCTCATTCTGACAATTCTCGTCTCGCCGCACGTTGTCAATGCTATAGTGAAGCTGGGTACAGCCGTCAGCGCCGACGGGGCCGTTCCCAACGGTCATAACGTAATCACCCCAAGCAGCACATGTGACAGCAGGGGAACTCTTCATGCGCCAAATCCGAACGGGCGTACCAAACAGTGTCCATACGCGAACGTAGTTCTTGTTTGTGACGGCCACGATATATCTGCTGCTGAGCGCAACGCATGTAGCTTCTTCGCCATCGGGCAAGTTGATGCGCATATCCGACCGTGTGGTCCAAGTTTCGTGAGGTCGGTAGAAGATCACTGCAGGCTGGCCATCCCGTGGAGGACAAGAGAACAACGTCCCCGTTTCGTTCAAGCATGCTTTGTCATACAGGAAGGGATCGGTGAAATGGAAGTCCCGGTACATTTCGCGGTCATAAAATTCGACCGTCACTGTATGATGAGTGTCCTGGTCAACTGTCCAGACGAATCCAATGAGGTTGAGGCACAGGTATTTGCGGTTGCCTCTCCAAGGTGTGGCTCCAGGTTGGAACGGCTCATGCACCTGCGGTTGCCACGCATCTTGCTTGTTTCGCTTTGGGAAAAGTTGCGTTTTGTCTCCAAGATGCCCGTTTGTCCTCTTGCCGTTTTCATTGACATATCCCGCGCCGTCGTCATCTTCTATCCAATCGAATGCTTCTTCTGGTCCGAGGAGCTCGTCAAGACTGTCGGGGGTGGTTGCTCGCCTTGCTTGGCCGTTAACAAGTGGCCTGCGGCCATTCACCACCGCAGCTTGCTCGAGAAGTGGATCGTGGAAGAAAGGAGCACCGACTTTGGGTCCTTTGAGCAGCTTGACGTGGGCTTCGTCTCTAAGAAATTCCGGGATGATGAAGACTTCACCATTGGAAGTCGTCCAATTGAAGATGTTCTCGCTGTGGTTCTGCCACGCCACATTGAGGATGTTTGTGTAATTGAAACGTTTCAGTGGCTTTTGTGTTTTGGCGTCCCAGATGACGAGATAATCCGAGTCTGCGGAGGCCAACAAGGCGCCATTCGGTGACCATGCCAGTGATGTGATCTCAGCGCTGTGCTCCCCCGAGAATGTCCGTTGCCGTGCACCGTCTTCAACCGAGATGACTTGAATATCTCTTGTCGCTGTGGCACAAGCAAAAGCTCTTCCATCAGGATGCCAAACGCAGCGGGAAGTCGCTGTCTCGGCCGTTTCAAGTGAAGGAATGAGGCCCTCGAAGGTTTTGGACAGCTTAGGCTCGAAAGCATGCATGTCATAAATGTAGATTACGCCGTCGGTGCACGATGCGGCGAGATATCTGCCGGATTCGTTGTATGTCAAATGTTTGACTGGTCTGGTGTGGTCGCGTAGTATCGTTATCTCCTCAATATCCCTTCGGTTGACGACCTTGATTTCTAGCTCGCTGGAGAAGTCAGAGATGTCTACCTGCCATGAATAAAGACATACTCGCTAGAGACAGCCACAAATTGCTCGTCTGGTGAGAGTGCAATATCTCTGACAGGGAGTGTGGTTCTGACAAGCATTTGTCTGAAGTCTCCGGACGGGACTGCATATTCGCACACTGTTCCATCTTCGCAGCCCAAAATCGCGTAGTCGTTCTGGGCCAGATCAGCCGACTGCATCTAACATATTGTCTTTTCTCAATTGGCACCATACCCCCGAAGCAACAGCAAATGTCTCTGCATGAGTCGAGGGCAACAAGTCGGGTTCGCCGTTGTCGTTGGTCCTGAAGGAACGAGCGAAGTCTCCAATGCCGGCGACGGTTAACCTCTGGCCATCGGGAGAATAGTGGAGGAAGGTAGGCCCGGGGGGCTGTGCAGGGCGGCCAGGAAATGGGGGTCTTTCTGGCATCTTAACGGTGTATGTCGAAGTAATGCTCTCTCACTCAGATCTGTGCGCAGTGGTCGGTATCAATCGCAGTGAGAGTGTTAATTAGCTTGGGTGTCGAGGCAGTGTCGCGCCTCGACGCGTCCCGCGCGTTCTGGATCTTCCGAAGTTGAACCGAGTCCGCACTGCAAACCCCGCATCTCTGTGGATGTCACAGGACTGTAAGGTGGAAATCAACTCAGACTACGAGATGGCGATGACGCCAAGTGTCTGCTGTATCTTCAATAAACATGCTGACGAAGACAAGGAATGCAAAAGAGTCCATTCCACTCAAGATTGTTACTAATACAGAACGTGGAAGTAAAGAAAGTCTATCATCCTGTTCAGACGGGGGGCCGTTGAGTCTGAACAGATTCCACCCCATATGTAGTCCGCATGTCCGACCGAATCTACATTAAAAAGAATTGACTTGCTTGTCGAAGAGTCGCTGTTTTCCGTGATGAGTTCGAAAGTGTGATACAATTGGCTAATTCGCCTCGTTTATGGGATTTTCCTGGAAGGGCTCGCAGAGGGGGCCACATATGTCTGGCCACCGCCATGGCTGTGCTAGTCCTATTCCTTCAGACGCCATCGGAAAAGAGGGTTGTCATGGAATCCCGACGCTCAGCGAAGACGGTATGGTATCGGTTTGCCTGAGCAAGGCGGGAATGGATCCAGCGTCGGAAACACCAGGCCACAAATGATGGCCTGTCCAGGAAGACGAGCACATAAGCTGTACTTTTGATGTCGATCTGTCGAGTTCGGCCAGCACCCAATCCGACCTTGATCAGAAAACTGACCGCAAGTTCTCCAGCTTTGCAGGGAGTGACAGCTGGCATAAGTTACAGGTTAAATAGAGCGATAATCGGCGCACGGAATAGGCAGCATGGCTCACGGTAGCCGCTGACTACTTCCGACAGAAGAATCATTTTCCAGTAGAGCCAAAGGCAGTGAGACAGGAGATGCAGTGGAATCAATGTGTCTCTTTGCGAAACTGCTGGCATTGATCGATTGGTTTGGGCCAAAATAAAAGTTGAAGACGTGGCCGAAAGCCAGCGCAGCAAATTTGAGTTCAGCGTAGCAGCCACGCTCGATTTTCTCTCAAGTTTCGGGTGGCGTCTTCATCGCAGGTGGTTCGGGAGGATAGAGACACTGGCGGACGTGAGAGATGACATCCTGGACATATTCTCGGGCTTGGGGCAGCGCCCGGTCCATGTGCATGAAGTGGTGCGGCATGCCGTTGAACCTTCGTAGGACAACCTTGTTACCCGCTTCCTCGATCTTTTTAGCATATGCTTCCGCCTCATCCCTGAGAGGATCAACCTCTGCCGTGGCCACATATGTGACAGGTGCAAGATTCTTGAAATCTGGAGCATTCATGGCGTCCGCGAACCACGATATGTCTCGCTTCTGTTCCTTAGGCTTTGTCCCGGGGTGCTGGCTGGACAAGGACATCCATTTGAAAGTGTCGAACCATTTCAATTTCTCCCAGTTGAGGAGGGGAGCAAACTCGGCTTCTCTCATGCTTGGCCAGGGGCTCATGTCTGGTGTCGCATACTTCCTCACGTCACTAATCGTAGGTGTGGCCACAATCACACCCTTCAACTTGTCGCTGAAAGCTCCGTCGCGAAACAAATGATTCAGGATTAGAGCGATAGTGGCACCAGAAGATTCACCACCAAAAGTCATGTTCGTGGAGTCGATAGAGAATGTTTTGTGGTTGGCCAGGATGTGCGCGACAGCCGTGAGACTGTCCATGATTCCGATAGGAAAGGGATACTCGGGGATTAGCCGGTATTCGATGTCAATGACGCAGCAGGGGACAGAGGCACAGATATGGTGGCAGATGTGTGCATCGGTCTCGAGGTCACCGACAGCCCAGCCTAGACACATTGTCAGCAAGGGTAAGTACTAAAATCATCGTGGATAAACTGATATACCTCCGCCGTGGAAATTGAAATGGACGGGCCACACTTTGCGTTGCCCTGGCTCTTCACCCGGAGGTACGTAAACCCGCACATTGATGTCCCCAGGATATTTATTCCAGCCCGGTACTTGTGTCTCCCCAATGCCTCCTACCCCGGATGGCGGTGCTGCGGCGTAGGAGTATAAGGCTGAATAGTTCTGGCGCACCACCGTCAGGTCGGTGGACGAGGGGGGGCCGTTCGCGATGTAATCATTGTACAGTTTCACAAAGGCGGGATCGAGCTTGTCAATCACAGAGGGGTGGATGGGATTGCGGAGAGGAATGCCGGGCGACTTGCTTTCCTCGTGTGGAAGAGCATGGGCATCGTGCATGCGGATGTCGTGGGTGGTGTTCATCTTGACAATCGGCGGCGCATGATCCAGTCGCACGTTTCGTCCTGTTGCCCCTCTTGGGGAGATACGTAAGAAGGGCTGGAGGGGGGCGGCTGAAGCAGGATCTGGTTTCTTCAGATGTCCATGATCCGGGGGATAGATACGAGGGGAAAAGATCACAAGATATAGATCAGATACTGCAGGCGCATGACCGAGTGCGGCCGGGAAAAGGGTCTATTGTCGCTCGCGTGTGTTTCCAAAAGATGAGGACAGCTGAGTATTTTTATGGACCTGTGCCCGGAGTGATTGGCGGCGATGATGATTTCGGCTGGAGGAAGCAGGGATGTGATTGGATTCGAAGTCCGTAGATGCTAGAGGGCGAGGATTTAAGAGAGATGGGAGAATTGAGGGATGAACGGTGGTGGGTGGGTGGATGGAGGCTGCGCTGGGCCGCAGGCGAGCTCGTGGCCCGCCGCTTGTCTCTGTCTAGCTGCCCACCAACTGCTTCTTCGACGCTTTCATCACCCACGGTCCATCCACCTCTCGATCTTCTTGTCTGGTTTGTTCCTGCGGATGGGCAACTTGTGCCAAGTCGCCAATTGTCCAAAAAAGTCCGAGAACGATGCAGGAGACGCTCCCTCGTCTGACCCTCGCTTCCTCTCCCGACACAGTCTGAGACATTCATTCTGCAAAACACCATCCAAAAGAACGGTCAGACGTATCACACTCGTTTCCTCTTCCGAGAGAGCCTAGCAGGATCGAAAGTCCCAGGTCTCACAATGATCAGTCGGTTTAATAGCCTGCAGATATCCCGGCTCCTGAGCTCACCCGCGCTGATTCAATTCCCTTTCGAAAGACCCTGTACTCAGTACTTTGCGCAGGGCGTCCTGGGTTTAGGCAGTCCACGCCGTTCAGGCTCAGGTTCAGGCCCACCTCCACCTCCCTCTCAACCTTTTCTCTAGGCCAGAGCGCGGTAATGATTCTCTTCCTCAAGCCATCTCAGTTGGTCGACGCATGCCCACTCCCTCGAGCAGGTCTAGTCGCTGGCGGTTTCTTTGGGTGGGTGTCAGCAGCAAGGCCATAAGCACTCCAACGCCGCTCGATCGCGAATCAAGTCAGGCCTGATGTGCGAGCGCTTGACGCCTGCTACGAACCTACGACCGGAGGATTTTTGGATCGTTCGCAAGTTATTGGGAACGAAGGATTTTGAGTTATGATCATGCTTACGTTCATACCCCCTTCCCGGAACAACAGATACGCACTCTCTGGACTACGAGCAGGCCAATGAGACTGAAAAGAGGATGCTTTCTTGACCAAGCTTTCACCACGTCTTGCAGTCGAGGAAGACAATGATCCCCAATCGATTGAGATGATGCGTTTTCGATGTCTGAGTTCGTTCGCCAGTGTATCTGCTATGTTTGGGCCATGTTTGGGCCGTTTGATCCTCCTATTTCGCCCGTGTGGTTTGATTCGATGACCTCTATCGATTTCGGCGCCTGGATAGAGATGGTATAGGCGACGCTGTCCATCTCTGCAACCCTCTTCGCCAGTTTGACGCCAAATCCATCTCTGCCCGACTCGATGCTCTGGAGTGCTTGCCTCTCCGACCGTTATCGCAGGCAGGCCCGCAGACATATTTTCCCATTGGCGTTGCCTTGGTACTTCGCAGTAACTGTCCTGTTTATGCCAACAAGCGTCAATCGGTTCATAGTTCCAGGTTTGCACAAATTATGTTTATGCCCGCGCCTTTGCAACGTTTGGTCTCCAGCAATCTACCCGGCCTTGCAGACTACAGCCGGACATGAAGTTCTTCCTTAGAACTACCGCCTTGTCTTGTTGATAGCTGCTGACAAGCTAGACAGTTTAGGATCTTTGTTTTTCCACGCGAGATCACGTCACGGTTCGCGGAAGGAGCCTCACCCGCCGATATTGAGGCCAACGCACCACTTAGCTGTGCCAACTGTGCCAGAGCAGAGAGTGCGACTTACCCTCCCGGGTGCATACCGATCAGACGCGCAGCGAAAAGACATGGATTCGGCGAACTCAGGTTCGTGGAAATGTGGGCTCACAACAGAGAGTCCTCGACGATATCAGATTCGGATACTGGCCAGAGAGCAAAGGAGGAATTGACGACAAAAAAAGGGCTGGTTGAAAGTGTTTCTCTGAAGGAACTCTGAGAAGACCGAGTGCCTGTCCTCAACACAACTGCGCGACACATTCACTTCCCCGGCGACCCCTTTCCTCTCCGCCTCCAGGTCACGTTTTACATCTATCCGCCAAGGCATCGCAAAGTGACAGTCCTTCAACGACACGAAAAAGGACCAGGATAAAAGATTCACTCGCACAATTCCAGTCGACAATTCCAGTCGACAATTCCAGTCGACAATTCCAGAGGGATGTACCCGTCGATTCGGTGTTACAGGCGAACCTGGAAATGTCACGATCCACAGACCCTTCTCATGCATGGTATATACTCTCGCGGGGACGTCCTAGCGCTGGGACAATGCAGAGTATCTCTCTCCATCATACCGAGAAAACAAGACCTATTGAGGACCGACCCCAACGGGATTGGGATCCAAGTTGTTCACGAACCGGATGTAGGACTCTCCGATCGCACGGGAGAGGCGTCGGTGGCTATCATAAGCAGGAGAAGAGCCGAGAAGACCAGAAATATTCTGAAAACTGAATGCGACGTTGTCGAAGTGCATCACACCTTGGTTCGCCGGCCTGTTCCAAGGCCTCTGGTCAAACCGATAACTGAAAATCGTTTGGTTCACCGACGGTTGTGTCATAAGCTCGCACAGCTTGCGACGCGTGGCTATGATGACCATATCTCCACCAATGTCCGCGGCTCGTGGTTCTTGTACACCTACAAGTGAGCCATAGAGGCTGCGCAAGGCTGTCCTTCCATCGACAACCCATACGGCTCAACCGTGAATCCCAACGAGTTGAAAGCTCCCTACGAGAAGCTCTCTACAAGGAGCTGCGATGGTATGGTCGGCGCCGATTAAGGTACATATTTCACTCACAAAACATCACGGATTTGCGCCGAAGTCATCGAGATTCTACCCAAACCGAGCAAAAATGGACGTAGAGAGCTTACGCGACGTTATCAGCGGGGAAAATTTTATTTGAAGTCCAGTACGCTGAGTTCCACCAGCATTTTATATGAAGCTGAAGAAGAGTAGCAAGAGAAAGTCATAGCTAAGTTGGGACTGATATTGTCAGGAACAGACCCACGATCCTGCCAAGCTACAGTACTACCACGGCAGGTATATAAACTCAACATTCTCGCATGAGAGTCTCCTCCTTCTCTCATGCTTCGAGTCCTGTAGAGACCGGGGGTCAAGGTGCACCTAATAGACACTTGATGTTCCTACTGTTGCCCTTCTGCCTATCGCCCCAGGCCGTTCCGTACAGATATTAATTATCCGACACACCAACGGACTGCCGCAAACCCCTCAGCTGACTCGTACAACGCCGCACACTCTGGATCAGAGAAATTTCCGTCGTGGCTTGTAGGCTAGATACCGCACTGTGGTTCATTCGCAAACCTTGGATGGAGGATGAGCTGTATGAACATCCATGAAATCTTCGACGGTGAGGACGTAGTTTTTGAACTGCCTTGCAGAAACTCTCTTCTCAAACAACACATCCAATTCCTCGTAGGTACGTCCTTTGAGTTCTGGCAATCGGAAAAAAGCCCATATGGAGATGACGATAGTGATGCCAGCGGTGACAAAAGCAGCGTGACCTTTCATGTTGGCCTTGAGAGGATTCAACATATAAGGCGCCACCACCGCATTCACAATCTGACAGATCGAGAACGTGATCCGAGCCAAACTAATGGTCTTGTTTCGCAGACGCGATGCTCCAACTTCGGCGGCAATGACAAAAGGCAATGGCCCAAGAGTTAGTCCATATTCGCCGTACCACACGAGCATAAGGATCGATTGACCCCATCTGAGACCGTCGTGTGATTGGTCGCCAAGCGATAAGAAACCAATTGTCAACATAGTTGGTATCATAGCAAAGACCCCGGCGAGGAACAGTGTGCGTCGCCCAAAGTAGTTGTGTAGGATCCAGAAAGTGGCAGTGCCAACAAAAGAGATACTGTACATGCCCAGCGAGAGCTTGTACGCCTGCGAAGAAGGGAGACCAGCCAGCGTGAAGAAGTAAGTCGCATAGTTCTGCATGGCCCAGCCAACTAGAACCTGCGCACCCCAGCCGACACAAGCAATTTCAGTCCGCCATAGATTAGACCCCCGGAAACAATCCAGGTAATTGCCGTTGATTCCGAGATCTCGTTCAAGCTGGGTTGTACGAACTATTTGGGCTACTGTTTCTGCAGGGTTTACCTTATCAGAGCCAGAAGACAAGCGGGCCACCGTTTTGCGTGCCTGCTCGACACGGCCTTTTCGGACGAGCCACCATGGCGAATGTGGGGCAAAGGCGATCAGGACACAAAGTGGTACTGGCCAGGCCCACTGGATCGCAAATGGGATACGATATGCCCATTGGGTATGGTTGTGGACCAACCCGTCTAGAACTCCAGCAGCGATAAGATGTCCGATAACCCAGCACAGGTTGACGGCAGCAATCAGGTAGCCACGGAGTTTTGTAGGGCACACCTCCGCTGCGTAGGAGGGTGCAATAGTACTGAGGACGCCCCAAGGCAGGCCACAAAGGATCTCACCGGCCAATAGAGTCTGGACGTTGCCGGCAAAGAATGTGATGAAGATGGTTCCTGTGAGTACAACCAGAGCCCCCAGAGTTAAATTTCGATGGCCGAAATGGTCGATCAACCAGCCGTTTGCGAAGAGTCCGAAGGTGACGCCCACTGTAGCCGCTAGACTCAGCGCAACCTGCCAGTCGGCTTCGATGGTGTATTTTCCGTTGCCTAGCGGCACCCCGTACTTCTTTTGAAAAGCCGGGAATGCAAAAAAAGAGGTAATGATTTGGATGTCGTAGCTTTCCATAATGATGGCCAACGAAATGACGAACGACCACATAATGGCCTTTGAGTAGACGCGCAAAGCTTCTCGGACAGGCATTGCATGTTCTGCGTCGGCAGCACCTTGGGCATTCACTTGTGCCACAACGACATCTCCCGCGGCTTCCTTCGAAGGATCCTTTTCCACATGCATTGTTTCTGACTTTAGATCGGTGAGCTCCATGACTGTAATGAAGAGTGAGCTATAGATGGGGATGAGAGACGAAAAATATCCTTTGGAAACAAAGAGAGGTTATTATTGTGGGAATGTGAGGGACAGAACGGAGTTCGAACGATTCTTTCCCCATGTCTGCCTTGGACTCTTTTATATTGGGTTCCAAGCCCTCGGGACGTAACCGACGTCCCGAAGATGGGTAGAAATGC